TAAGATACTTTCTGGGCCGAGCCCCCTGTCTTAAAACTTGAAACCGACTACACTTATATATGCTGTTGTACTACATTTTTAATGCTGTAATAAACCATACATAATGGGTTTAACTTATGAAATCAGTTTAAAAAGTTAAGTAGGTCTGCTTACACAGCACAATTTCTGTGTCTTATGTTCACTGGACTATTTAAAGTCATAACATGAGTCTTAATGTCGTTTTCCTATTCCAAAGTTTTCTGGTTCTCACTGTACATTAAATAAACAAACAATAAATAAACATATACAGGGTTACCCACAAAGAATGAGACTTTAATGACGACCTAAAACTTTAAAATTATAACGGTCTGAATTTGGCTTTCTGCCATTGCAATTATTTGTTAATTGATTATTAATTGATATACTTCATGAATTAGTGCAATTAGAGGGAAACAGCTTAACTTAAATAAAGTTTTTATTTTGCAGGGATCCAAGAATAAAAAAATGACTGCAATTAAATTCGTTATAATTCCTTTCAAGGGTAACGTCCTGTACATTACAGTGAAAACCAGAAAACTGTGGAATACAAAGACGACTTTAAAGCAATACTGAAGTGAATTTAATGTTCTTACAACGCAAATAGCTTTGTTAGTAAGTTATGGAATCACTTATTAAGTAAAATGGGGTTCTGTATGTTTCTGTATGTTACAAGTTTCTTTAAGGAATATTGAAAATCAACTATAGCTGCATATACAGAGAATGCCAGATAAGATAACATTTAAGTTGCTCGTCATGTTTATAGAGCGTATATTCTTGTTTTGGAGTTTGTATTCAATAACCCCTACCCGGAGCCCTGAGTACACATAAATATTTCATGTGGAACATTAATTGTGAGTTGGTCAATCACAATTCAGTGACTTGTTTCATCCAAGTTCATATCTCAAGACCATGAAGATTAATTAAACGGTGTTACATCATTTTACATATCTGAAGGGAGGAAATTGGTACACGACTTCCCTCTTCCGAGTTTCAACTTAAACTGCTAGTCTGAGGAGTCTGAGGTGAGTAAATTGAAATAAAAATATACGTGCATATTTAGATCGCAAGAAAATTAATTTGCTTTTCATAAATTTCGAGATAATTTAATTTTTAGAATCTTTGCTTGTCCGTGCTCTCTATTTTTCTGCTTGCAGGTGTCTAAAATAAAAAAAATTACAATTTAAATTTATTTCAATGAAGACGACTTTAATATTCTTGTTTTGTAATCTAACTTGACCGCGGTCCGCGGCAATTTTCAGAATACGCGCTTACATTCAAAATCAATTCCGCCGCGGAACCCTGATTCCCCTGAATAATCTCCTAATTATGCTTACTGGGAGTTGGACAGCTAGTTTATAACCTGAGTCCGTTCTCTTTATAAATATTGGTCGTGTAGTTCACGTACTTTTGGGACGGTATGTTTGCCGCTATATGTCTCATGATAAATTCTTATCTGATGATAGAAAGATATTTTCTCCGTACTCGACGACCAAAATTATTTATTTATACCGAAGAAGCTCATTTGGGTATATACCTAGAGAATGATTTTTGGAATCCTAGCCGCAGCGCTCGGCCCCATAGCCTATCCTAGCCTCAACGCTCAGAAAGTGTTTTAACATAACCTAACCCTAAATAATACAAAATAACTTAAATTGAAAGGTCTTGTACAACGAGAACGATTTTTGGACCCCCCTCCTATCAATTTTGTACATGACCACTTATTTATCAGCAAAAATATTATTATTTATTTTGGTATTATTTTAGTTTAGGTTAGTTAAAGACAATTTCTGGACTGAGCGCTGCGACTAGGGCAGGCTAGGGGCCGAGCGCTTCGGTTAGGACAGGCTATGGGGCCGGGCACTGCGGCCACATGACCAATTATATCCATGTGTTATCCATGTACAAAATTGATAGGAGGGGGGGGGGGGGCCCAAAAATCGTTCTCTAGAAAAATTACCGTCTCATTCACTATGGGTAACACTGTACAGAAGACATTGTAAGCTTAATGTTTGACTTAATCACATCCATTGCTGCTTTATTATCTTATAAATGTGAAAATTAAGTATTGGATCGTCTAAAACTTTGGAAGAGCTATATTATATAATCTCAAATATGTTTTCTTCTAGATGATAAGTTAAAAATGGAGTGTTTTAAAAGTAATATGCTGGGAAAGTATGTAAAGCTAAACAAGTGTGAAAAAGTCGGTATTATAGGTAAACTTTAATAATTCTAAAGTAACAAAATATTACATAATTGTTATTATTTAGAAATAAATAATGCTTGGTTATAATTAATGATAAAGTATATCTATCATGTTTCCATGTCACGTCTTTTTTACATGAGAAGATCCTTTAAAGGGACAGACCGGCTATGTAAGGTAGTTGAACTGAGTATGCAGTGTTGTGGAAAAATTCTTAAGGATTCATTTGAGACATATAAATTTTTCAAAGATCTATAAAACCTGAGTGTGAGCGCAAAGTCGACATTTAAAATCGTACTTTTGGGGTGGTCACGTTTTCAGAATCGTTTTTTTTAAATTATTAAATAACGACGACAAAAAATGTAAACAAAATTCTACAGTAAACTAATTAGTTGTTTAGGAACAGGTTGAGAAAGTAAAAATTAATCTTATCATCGAAAATAAGTAATCTTATTCAATTATTAGTTTCTATAATCTCTCAATTAAACCCAAAGATTTTCTGGAATTTTTATTGAACTTACATTGGAATTTTAGATATCTCTGAAAAAATTCATAGAAAATAAGAAATTCAATATAATGATGAAAACGAAATAATTGATTCTTGCATTGATTTATTGACAAATTTGTTTTGCGAAATATGTTCCTAACCATCTAATTAGTTTACTGTATAATTTTTACTTTATTTTTCGTCGTCTTTATTTAATAAAAACTATTCTGAAAACGTACCCGCCCAAATTCATGATTTTGAACGTCGATTAAGCACTCAACGTAATAATGCATCGTGAAAAAGTTTTATATGTCTCAAATGAATTATAAAGAATTTGTCCACAACACTGCATACTTAGTTTAACTACCTTACATACCTGGTTTGTTCCCTTAAAGAGCTGTACAGTGTAGACATAATGTCAATTGACCTCTTTAGAAAAGATTCGCATGTTCGATTCATAACGGTACCCTTGGCCCGTTTTCTGAGTAATATGAGGGAAATATCGGTGTTTTATCTGTCTATTGAAGTGTTTAATTGTCTCAATTTTCATAATTGTTTCTAAAGCAGTAATTCTATAGTCACTCTAAGAGAGAAACCCAAATTAAAAATAATCAATATTGAGTATGACAAATGAGGATATCGTGTTTATCCTTTGGCAGACAAAGGTGTAAGGCTACCATATTGTTTATTAGACATGACATTCCACTCTTCAAATAGATTAGCACATTTAATTACTTATCATGTCACTATAAATTTAAATTTGGAACACATGAATTGATATTTGCTAGAAACCATGAAAATATTGAATCTGTCTACCTTTCTTTTGATAATTTAGATGAGATAGCGCAGGCAGCGAATAATAATAGATTTCTGGTTCTGTTTCCTGATGGATCTGCAGAATATGTTCTGTGGGAAAATTTCAGGTAAAAATGGTTTAGTTCTTCTCTGCTAATTCATGCAATAATTTAAGATATAGCACGAGGTAATTTCTTAATATCTGGTCTGGGTTGCCCAAGATGGGGCTTCTTTCAGATCTCATCTCACATAATCACATAATCACACATTTGACCTCCGCCCCCTACCCCCCCCCCCAGTATTTTTTTTTTACATTAATCTTGTATGTAATACGTGGTTATAGTTTGATTTGCGGTCGAAGAGCCCGGCCCCCTAGCCTTCCTAGCTGCGGCCCCCTAGCCTTCCTAGCCGCGGCCCCCTAGCCTTCCTAGCCGCGGCGCCCAGCCTATCAGCTGCAGTCCTAAAGAAATAATTGATACAATTTAATAATTATGGTGAAAATATTAGATATCGAGTTCATGAGAATAAGAAATTCAATAAAAGAATGAGCGCTTAAAATCCGACTGGGAAAAAGTGGGGAGGAGAGGGGGGGGGGGGCATGGATCTAAGCTATATGGCCCTTACACCTGTCAGCGGTCTAGGAGGTCCTTTACGGAGTCCTTTACAGATTCCTTTCTTAATATTTAATGCGAATACGATTCCGATCGATATTGAATAACGCCCGGGCGTGAGATAATGCCCGGGCTACTTTATTTCGGTATCAAGCATAAAATGTATAAAAAACCGAATTAATTCTTGTATCTTTTACGCTCAACTATTACATACATAGTTTTTAATATCTGTTTTGAATTCTTTGAAAGAAAGACGACATTCGATAATTAAATAATGATTGCTTGATTTTGTGGTTGGTTAATAGTTGGTTTGTTGGTTGGTTATTTAATAAACAATATTTTAGTTAAAATATTATTCAGGGTTATTGTTCACTCAAGTGAAGTGAAGAATTTTGAAACTGAGATTATTAAACCCAGAATTCTTATCAAACTAAATCCTGAAGATAGCATTAAGGTAGAAGTAAAAAAAAAGTACAGTTGAAATGTTTTGAAACTTTCCCCCCTCCCTCCTCCTAGGACAAAGTTAATATTGAAAAATTATAATTGACTCATATTATTTAAAATTATTGAACTGGTCTCGCAACTTTTTAATTATTAATGTTATGATTTTATCGGGATCGTTTAAACCAGTGCTTAGGACCCATTTAATTTTGATGCATATCCGGATCCTGGATCCGCACTGGAAAAAAATGGATCCGGATCCAAACCCGGATCCAGGTCATTTCTTTAAGATTTACTGAAAGTTTTTTAACAAAAAATAATTTTCAAATTTTTTGTTTTATTTTTTTCGCTTATTTTTATCCTAAAAGTTGATGAACCATTCAGAAATGAGGAAACTTTTATAATCTTTCTTTTTTCAAAAGTTCATATTTGGGGTTTAGGAGTAAAAAGTTTTTTTCTTCAGTTTTTGGTTGATATTTTACCCCTTGGATCCGGGGATCCGCATATTTTTGCGGATCCGGTAGCCAAAATCTTGCGGATCCAACGGATCCGGATCTTAAGCACTAGTTTAAACGCTTTTCATATAAAAAATGCAGTTCCTATCGGCCTCAGACCCCCTCCTCTTGTTGTGTCCCTGATTTTTTGTAAATGATATTTTTTCTGTTTTAAGGTTCTCACAAATAATATGTGGACTGACGCAAGGGTAGAAAGTGTTGACTGTAATATATCAACATTCAGGTAGTTTAACTTTTCTTCACATTTTTAACAGAATTTTAGTTCAATCATATTTTAACTCAATCTGTAAAATAAATGAATTTTTTAGGTTCGAAGATGGAAGTCGGGAGAAACTATTCGCAGGGTCTCCCAGGTATACAACCCATTAAAGTTTACATCGATTTTTAAATGGTTTTTTTGTATCCGCAACATTTTGGCTTCATAAATGGAACTCCTTTCAACATTGTTAAAACTCTTTTTTTTTGGTGGTGGTGGGGGCTGGATTTTAACAAATACCTCTAAAATAAGGGGGTCTGTAAAAAGATTTTCGTCATAAAGATACAATTATATTAATGTTTAGATTGTCCCCTCTAGCCAGTATTCTGTCAAGTCCTCAACAAATTGATCAAATCACTGGTGGGAAGGAAAAGTTTGGAACTATTGTTCAAGCAGTGGTCCCGAGGATCAAACAGAAGTAAGAGCAAGTTTTATGTCTTGATCAAAATAAATTTTAGATAAAGAAAAGTTTGGTTTAAGAATAAAACACTATTAATATTCTTACGGGAGAAAAAAAAACACATAATGGAACATTAAACTTCACTTTTAAAGAAAATTGTTTCACTGAAAAGTTGGCGTAATACTTTTCCTCGTTTTAATAAATTTTGTAAGACAACATCTGAATAATTGATTATGCTACTTGAGCTTATCATTTTCTTCCATTTTTGAACATAAACGGATACAGGAAGGGGCCAGTGAAATTCTATCAAAGATCCAGATCTTTATTTCCTTATTACTTTCAACGCTATATAGTATATATGTGTCGTAGGAAATAAAAAATTTGGTATTTGCTATGGAAATAAATTATGGACAAAAAGGTTGATGCATTTTAATAATAAATCAATGAGGACAAATAAATAACTTTTTTATTAACAATACACGAAAGTTTTTCATTTTTGAAAAGGAATTGAACAACATACATGATCTCTTAATGTGCTCTAGGAGATATGTTCTTCACTCCTGTAGTAGAAGCTGTATGGTTAAGTTTATTCCAAAACTTCACAGGAAACCATCAATGCTCGTAAGGGAGAGGATGTCATTTTTTTTTAAGTGGTCAAGGGGAATCTTTCTATTTTAAAAATTAAAGTTAATGTAATTATTTAAGTTTTGTTTGCAATATTCCAACTAAGGGGGGTTCACTGGACTTCTCTGCTCTAAGCGATGAACATTATTTAAAAATCTCTCATTACTAAAACATCAGATGAATAAAAAGATTTTTTTAATAAAAAGATTGATGTCAATAGATTTAGAATACATTTCTGGTTTATCAATACCGCATTTCATTTTGATACTTGAAATTGAAGTTGAAATTGGTTGGTCGACTAGAAACCAGAATCCTTTGCTCATACCACTACGGTTAGGATGGATAAGGGAAGCAGCTACAACATCCTCAATAGATCCTGCTGCTACTACTGATAGTGAAGCTTCCACAGATATTGAAGCTATTATAGCTTCTGAAGCTTCAACAGCTCCTGCGGCTTCTACAACTTCTGCAGATGCTTTAGCTTCAGATTCTCCTGCATCTCCAGATTCAACAGATGCTGCAACTATTTCAGCTTCTTCAGTAAATACAGCTACTACATCTACTAAATCTAGCTCAGGTAGTGTTTTCTGAAACGTATATTGTTATATTGATCTGGTTTAGCTTAGTTACCTGTTTTGGTAATAAAAATCAATTTTTAAACTAAATATTTTGTTTCGCTTTATATGCTCGACATTTTTCACATGTTCATCGTGACTTTTCTCAAAAATAATTAACATAGTCTGACACACTGTTTCATGGGATTATCATAAAAAGAGGTTTTCCTATGTTAAAATTAATTTGGTTTCACATTAAGATTAAAACTACAATTGGATTTCTCGTTATATAATGCAGTGCAAAGATTTATTTTAATTTTAATGACGTTCTAAATCCTGGATCCGTCTTGCTAAACAATTTTGTTGACCCAGCTCATCTATATGTCTTATATTTTATTTCTCTGTTCTTCGATTCTTTTTTCTTTTGAATCCGTCTCTTTATTCTGAAAGATTTTCCACTTTGATCTGTATCTGGGGAACCAAAATGTTGCGATCATTTGAATTCCTTTATAGAACATTCTGTACAACTATAAAGTACAATTCAACTCTGTGGATCTCTATGTTTAGATATGAATAGTAAATCTTGGACTATTTTCTACATTTCACCCTGTGGACTCAGATTAAGAGATATGAAAGGAAAAATGCCATTTGAAATAAAATAACTTTTTAACTCATGAATTAAATACAATACTTTAAAATGTTGAAGGTTCTGTTTTTTACTTTTTATATTCTCAAGAAATTTCCAATTTGATTCAAGAAGTTATGTAATAAATAGTTTTTAAATTTATCGTAATAGCACTTTTGTAGAGGTATCTCTATATCTTGATATTTGTGAGAGTGATCTAGAGATTGATAGTTTCTGTTTTGATCCTTGGATTAATGTGAGGTAACATTTTACCCCCTAAATCCTAAACTTTTTAAGATATCGAGTCGAAAGCTCATTTATCTTAAACTCAGTAGAGGTACTTAACGCGTAATTTCAAGTGACCCTCCATGGTAAGATTGTAATGCCCGATTTACCCTTTGAACTTTGACTGTTTATATCTTTCAAAAATTGTTCAAACAAAGTGTTAAACGATTATAATCATTTTTGTAGATTGCTGAGGAGAAGTCGTACATTCTTGAGCATTAAAAAGTTTAAAGGTACTGTTGTGAATCGGACACACACGTCACTCTGTAAATAGAGGCTCACTTACAAATTACGCTACAGTCACTTAAAGACCTTGGCCAGGCATTTTGATTGAGATGGAGCTTTTTAGATTCTAAAGCTTAGCTCATTAGAGGCATGAAAATTTCAGTTTTAAAGGGACTGTCGTAGTAATCTTAAGTTCCCCTTTATTTAAAAAAAGAGGCATGCATGATTCGCAACAGTACCCTTGGTACCATAATCTGATTAATATAACTTGGAACATAACGCAGTTTTTCTAGCTACAAAAGTTCTCATTTCCAATAATTTCTCCATTGTTTCTGAACCAAGACATGCTCCAGTAATTTTTTAGAGAAACCCCAATTGAAAGTTATCAGTTTTTAACAAACAAAAAGTGAATATCTAATTCATACTTGATCAGACAACGCTTTTAAGGGTTACCTTTTGCATAGTACTTGAATAGTACTTGAATAGTACTTGAATAGTACTTGAATTAGTACTTGAAAAGTACTTGAATAGTACTTGAATAGTACTTGATTAGTACTTGAAAAGTACTTGAATAGTACTTGAATAGTACTTGAATAGTACTTGAATAGTACTTGAATAGTACTTGATTAGTACTTGAAAAGTACTTGATTAGTACTTAAATAGTACTTGATTAGTACTTGAAGAGTACTTGAATAGTACTTGAAAAGTATTTGAATAGTACTTGAATAGTACTTGCTACTTTATGTAAGGAATGTCACTTAAAATTACGTGTTCAGTCCCTCCAACCTGGAATCTGATTGGACAAAGTAAAGAAAGTATTCACGAACTTGAGATAATGACACATGGGTACAAAATATAACCTTGTTCGTGGTTCAATATTCTAGAATTTATAAATTACCAATTTGAGACTATTAATATAACGGGTTTAAAAAGTAAAATTAATTGGGGGGGGGGGGGGGGCTTAATGGCTCTCTTGGAATGAGATTGGCTAGTTCCGTTAATTCAAAAGTTCCCAATCCCAGCCCTGGTAAACCTTAAAAAGAAACAAGCATCCGAAGAAAAAATGGTTTTTTATTCTTGTTTTTAATCAAAGTTCTGGGACCAAAAACTTTAACTTTCGCTGTATGTTTAGGGATGAGTTTAGAGTATGCCCTGGTAAAGTTTACATCCCGGATATAACGCAAGGAAAGGAAATAAATCCTGTTCCTTGCATCAATACTCTGGATACAGAGCAACCACCTGATATAGGTATCTTGTACAGGCACTGATTTTTTTGTTCACCTTTTTCAAAAATCGTCATGTTAGTTTCTCAATAAAATTTGAATATAATAGTCTTCAGAATCATGTGGTTTTTAGAATGAAATCATTTTTAATTTGGCCCAGGAAATTTCTCTACTTACAATCTCTCGGATGTTAGTTGAGCTAGTGTGACCCACCCCCCCCCTCCTCCCCTCTCAGTTGTGCTTCTGATTCATGCTGCGATTATAAGAATCTTATTTTATTATAGAATACTCGATGACGGTTCTGCCGAAGAAGAATGTGAGAATGAATACGGCGCCTGAGTTCTTGACCCGGTGTTTGTGCACAGACAACTGCCAAGACAGGAAAACATGTGCTTGTGCACAGCTGACCGTCAAGGCAAGGATACTGTGTTTACCACTGAACTAGTATAACGTTACATGTCATCTTCTAAACATTTTTTATGTAATGATTAGTATAATTATTTTTAGGATTTCAATTTATTTAATAAAACCAAAAGTGACCCTTCATATCCAAGTTCTATGTTGTTTATTAAGATACAAAGAGAGTATATTTTAGAATGATTTTAAGTAGTCCAACCTTTTTACTAAACGTCTTGTCACATTTGATAAAAAGCCATGGAAGATCTAAATATTTCATGGTTCTTTCTTTTTATCATGTTAAATGGGACAGTTTGTATTTTTAAAGAACTCTTACGCTACAAGTACTTTTGAGAGTTTTTCATTCCCAATCCCATTGGATCTAGCAAGAATGTTCTAACTGCAATTATTACTATTATTATTATTTTAGTTCTATTTCATCATCATATCATTGTTTATTTTATTATTTTATTTTTATTATTATATTATTATATTATTATATTATTATATTATTATATTATTATATTATTATATTATTATGTTAGTATATTATTATATTATTATGTTATTATGTTATTATATTATTATAATATTATAATATTATTTTAATGAATGCAGGCTACTGCTTTGGATGGTGATGAGAAGATAGTGCTTGAGGATGCTGGATATATGTACAGGAGACTCCAGGATGTTCTTATCACAGGAATATATGAGTGTAATGATCAGTGCGCTTGTTCGAGGTAGATAACTATTTTTCTTCTCATTACAGGGCGGAAATAGGGATGAAATAAATATAGGAGGGAATATTACATTGCCGAGGCTTCCCACGATCTTGTTGCATCCTAAAGCATCACGAGCGTAGCAATGCATACGTGAAACGTAATTTTTAAACTTTTTAACCAATTTCATGGAGATTTTTTACTTTAAAACAAAATAAAACCTTTTAATTTACATAAAATCAACCTTTTTCAGGGATAAAATACTGTAAAATCTATTTAGTTTTGTAACACATATTTTAGAGTTCAGAAATCAAATCTAATGGCAGTTGCCTAAGGAAATTATGTGCACTTGCCGCGTTGAATTACAAGAATTGAGAGATTAGTATATATTTTAGGGTTATGTTAGGTTAAGGCACTATTCTAAAGAGAAGATAATGGACAACTCATTTATTCTTGATCAAACAAAGCTTTATGGAGTAACGTTGTTAATCGGACAAACCACTTAATAAATGGAGGTTCACTTGAATTTACAGTCTCCAATATCTCTCGATATCCAATATGGGCCCTTTTAAATTTGAAGATCAATGATTGGTCCATAACATTGATTTATCCCTGGAGGGTATAACTAAATGGGATATCGAAGAGGGATTAAATGAAACCGTGTAGATATGGAGATCCCGAGATTTACAGCACATAAGTTCTGACTTCTGAGCTGAAAACTTTTGAATGGGATATCCTTAATCCCGATCGGTTAATTAATCTGGAGATTAAAAATGAGAGAAGAACAAGCATTATTTAATCTGGAGATTAAGAAAAAGAGTGGATCAAGCATTAATCCCGATACCCACTATTCAAAAGTTTTCAGCTCTGATCAAGTTAGAATTTCTTTGTACAGTGTGTGCAAATAAACATGAGAATTAAGAGACTAATTCGAAATCGTCTTTGTAAAGCATTGGATTACCTAATTTCAATGATCAAAATAAAGTTACGACTGCTAGATTATATTTCATGTAAACGGTAAAAGATGTCGCGTATATACGGGAGGTTACCCAACCCCCTTAGAATCCTGGGGGTAATTACCCCCCCCCCCCCTAGAATCTTGGGGGAAATTACCCCCCACATAGAATCTTGGGGTCACAAATATCCCCGTTTAGAATCTTATTCTCCATTCTCCATGTTCAGGATTATCATTAAGAGGAAAATATAAGCAAATTCTTCGTCGCTTCGAGCTGATAATTTTACTTCATTAACTTTAACAAAAAATTAAATTTTAAAAAGTAAGAGAGCTTTTCTCTTTTAATGAAGTTAAATTAACATATATGCATATATAAATAAAATATGCACCATGATTGAATTAAATACAGTTTTTTTACAGTTTAAAGGTAGACAATGTAATTAGTGAATTTATCATTAAGGTGTCAACTATAAATAGAGACTTCAGAAAAAATGCTCTTACTCATCAGTTTTAAATTTACGCTTTTTCAAGTAAGGCCCTTAACTTTCAGGGGGAAAATATGAATTATAATTGACATTGTAGTTTTGGATGAAGAACCTAGTTAAAAGCATTTTTATCCACTCCTCTTTTTTTCCCTTAATCTTCTTTATAATATATTCTTCATAACACTGCAACTAATTTGCTTCCAGGGCTCAGGTAGCTGATTATCGCGGATTTTTCATATAGGTGGATTTGCTATTTTATAAGCTGTTTAAAAAGTCGCAATTTATAGTGGACAAGGACAATCTTTAGGGTATAGATTAAAAAAGTTAAAAGCTGAAAGGTGGTAAAGGAAGCCTTTTATTTTGTTAATCCCAGAAATTATTGGGAAATTGAAATCAAACGAAGCTAAAACCCCTAATTTGATATACATCATGAATAAGGTTGTACATGGTCCAGGGGGNCCCCCGAGAAAATTCTTATATCGACGGATTGCAACTTTCCTAGTAGGCATTACCAAACTAAAAAAGAGATCTTTTACAAAGACGAAATCAAAATCGTCACTGAATTCCCATGTTTATTGGGACATGTATTTTTTATTTTCCCTTTACATGCGAAAAAAGAGAAACTAAGAATTGAACTAATATTATTCACATGTTAACAAATTTGTTTAGCACTTGTCATAACCGAGTACAGCAGCAACCAATAAAAGTGAAGCTTCAAGTTTTTAAAACAGAGAAGAGAGGTTGGGGCATTCGCGCTCTTCATGATATTCCCCAGGTTAAACATAACATTTATTTAATTTAAAAGAACTTTTATCCCGCATTTTCATTTATAATTTCGGTATTCGTAAAACAAAAAGCTTTTTGTTTTTCCTGAGGCAATCAAGTGATTTTATTTTATGACAAACCAGGTTTTCGAGGGATTTACATAAGTATTTCTAGAGCATTTTAAATTACGTTGAAATATTCGTTTTGAAAAAATAAACCCTATTATAAATTAATTGTATGATTTTATATCATTATTGAATTTTGATTAAGTCAATGCATATTTGACTGTATGATGAATGATAATAATAATAACAATAATAATAATAATAGCTACCTTCTGTTGTTCTTCGGGAGAAAATGTATATTCTTTTCTGTGATTTTTACTTACAGTAAGAACCAGAAAACTATGAAATGAATGTCATCTTTGTGTTTTCCTTTTCCTAATTGTTGCAACTGATATATTTCTATCAAAGTTTAGGGTATTACTTAGAAATAGTTCAGTTGCAAATAACAAAATCCATCATTATTTTAAAGAAAAAAAAGATGACGACAATTCCGCCTTTTTTCGGTTCCCGCTGTGTTGTATTTTGTTTTTAGTTCAAATTTGAATTTTATGTACAAATAATAATGTTTTTAAGTATATTTACAAAATGGCAATTGTTAATAATTTAGGGAAGCTTTATCAGTAAATATGTTGGGAACCTGTTCAGTGCAGAGGAGGCTAATGAACAGGGGCATCTTCATGGAGATGATTATTTCTGTGAACTTGATCTTATAGAGATAGTAGAGAGACAGAAGGTTAGTTTGAAGAGACTGTTCTAAAGATTAGATACGATTAATATCAAGAAAATTCCCTCAAACTAATAAATAAACTAAAGAAGAGGAAATAGATTTTCCCTTTTCCCATTGCTAAAAATTGGTAAATTATCAAAAATAATGTTTCAAATATTTTAAAATTCGATTTTCTAGTTTTTAATTGTGATAAATAATTATAAGGATGGATATGAAAGTGACGTAACTGACATTGAAGAGGAGGAGGAGGAAGCAAATCAAGATGATCCACGAAAAAAGTTTAAATCTGTTCGGTCATTTTACAAGGATGGGGTGGACGTTTACATTGTCGACGCTCTCAAGGCAGGGAATATAGGTACAATTTTATTCAGGATTTCAAGAGTTTTAAGAATTTATTTATGTTTGTATGTTAAAGGGAGAAAATCTCTCTTAATTTCGAGAGATCTTCCATTTATAGAGACGCATGTCGGATTCACAAGGGTACCCATAAAAACTTTTCCTGGCCAAGAATGAATGAAACATACACGGTTTTCTTTTTTTGTAAATTGATTATTTTTAATGGGGGTTTTATCTTATTAGATTAGGACTGGCGGATTTATGCTATAGAGGAAATGATCAGAATGAAAAGATAGAAATAAAAGTGCAATATCTTTCACATTATTTGTCAGATACATGCTTTAAGGGTACCGTTGTCAATCAGCCATTCTCCTATAATTACAACGACGGTCCTATTAATTGTGTTTCTAACATGATATATTTTAGGACGGTATTTAAATCATAGTTGTGATCCAAATGTGTTTGTTCAAAATACCTTTCAGGAATCTCACGATCTCAGGTTAATAATTCAGTTATTGCATGTAAAGGGATAACCAAGGAGTATGAAATAGAAGGGAGATATAACTGACGTGGCCCACTCTACCATATGATTATTCATGCTTTTCAGATGGATACTCCATTTGTATAAGAAGTATTTGTCTAATGTACAATAACCTATTCTAAACAGTGCTTTGGATCCGCAAGTTTTTGGCTTCCTGGATCCGGATCCGCAAAAATATGCGGATCCACGGATCCGGATCCAAGGGGTAAAATATTAACCAAAACTGCAACAACAAAAAAAAATTACTCCTAAACCCCAAAACTGAACTTTTGTAAAAAAGAGAGATTATAAAATTTCCTCATTTCTGAATGGTTCATCAAGTTTTAGGATAAAAAGCAAAAAAAATAAAACGAAAAATTTGAAAATTATTTTTCGTTAAAAAAAAATCAGTAAATCTTAAAGAAATGACCTCAATCCGATTGAATACATTTTTTTCCAGTGCGGATCCAGGATCCGGATCCGCATCAAAATTAAATTGATCCTAAGCACTGATTCTAAATATTTCTTATACAAATGTAGAACCGTCTGCAAAGCATGCATAATCATATGGTAGGGCGTCAGTTGTATCTCACCTTCTATTTCATACTCCTTGGGGATGGCTAAAAAAATATGTTTTTACTATTTGGTATGATATTTTGTCTAGGGACCAAATCAATTAAATTTCTACCTCAATTCCGGGGATTATAAATTTATAAAAAGAGTAAGTCTTATTGAGGATATTTATGGTCAAAACCACTTGATCACTTAGTTTTGTACCGTTAAATTTACTCACTTATCCGCGTCCCTCCATTTTGATAAATACGGCCAAACGCAACCTAAATTCTGGTCTATGCTTGGCTTGCTTCCCTCCAGTCAGTCCCATCTCTTTAGCTCAGCTTCGAAACTTCTTCTCCAAGTTGTTTTTGGTCTGCCCTTACTTTTCTTCCCTGGTGGATTCCACAGAATAGATTTTTTTGGGGTTTCTCCAGTTATTCATTCGTAGCACACTGCCAAGCCAGCAAGTACTAATAAAAGCTAAAAGCAAGAATGATATTACAAACTGAATTGAATAAAATGTTTATGCAAGATTTTAGACAGGGGTATATATTTTCAAGAATTACATTTCTTTGACTTTTTAAAACTTTCAATTATTTTTCCGAGAAGGGTTTTTTTAATATCTTTGCAGACCCTGAAATGTGTTTTAATGATCCCTGATTTCATTTGATTATAAATAAAATAATGAAATTTTTTTATTGAAAGACAATTCAGGAACGTATGCAGAAATTTGGCCAGGGGGGCTTATTATATTTTCTTTCCAGACTCACCTCCCGTTCGGGTCTGAAAACCCCCTGGAAACCAACGGGGGGCTGAGTCTCAATAGCCCCTCTTGAATACGCCTGTAAAAAATAAATATATTTAGGTTTCCTAATATAGCATTCTTTACCTGTAAGTTTGTAAAGGCGGGGGAGGAATTGTGTTGGAACTACAATTACAAGGTAAATACTAACTATTTTCTTAAACCCCCCTTTACCCAAAAATGGTTTAGGTAAGTAAATCTTTTTTTTAGATTTTTTCTTATTTTTTAATCAAAACTATTGTTATAATATTGAAAGAAAACCCGTGGAATAATTTTGATTGTTTACCGAAAGGCAAATTTTTTAATTCTGATCGTTCATTAACTTTCTCTGAGGTCAAGCGAGGTCCCACACAAAATTTGGCTCCAATATGATGCGTACTTTACTTAGTGAATTCATTTTACGTAATAATTCGCGTAATTAAACCTTAAATTACGCGAAAATTGACTTTCTTTCATCCACGTAATTAACGCGTAATTACGCGGAACGAAATTACGGTTGGAAACTCTACTCCAATCATGTTTTATAATATAAAGTGAGCTTTTAGTATAGACAGTGAAAAATTAACCTGCAGCCCTCTCTTCAGTTCTAGTCTATTGTTAAAGTTATTTTTTTACAGGCTCTCCCCTCCCCCCATAGTACAACCACCACCACCACTCTCACAATTAAAGCCTTGGTTATATAAAATAAATAATTCAATTAATATATTTAATTTAATTTTAGGTCGGGTCAGTGCCTGGCCGAAGAATTGATTGTCATTGTCAGGCTGCTTCATGTAAATTAAGATTGCTCTAAATCCCTTATATAAAAATGGAACTTAAAATTGTTGAATTTAAAAGACGACATTCATATCGATTTTTTGATGACGTCATACGGCTTTCCTCAAACAAGTTAACAACGCAGGCCGCAGCTGATTAATTTATCAGTTGAAACTTAGTTTAGAATTCTTAACGAGGGCGTATTTTTCTAAACCTAAAAGACATTTGTCTTTAAACCCTATTATATTCTTATCAGAAAATTAAATATCTCAGTGATAATTTGTCGGTCAAAATATCAGTCACATTTTAAAGATGTAAATATGTAAAATAAAGTTTCTGCAAGGCAGAATATGAATCTTAAGTATTATTTAATATTGAAATCTTATTTCGATCTTGTTTTAATGATACCTATTCTATCATAATATGTAAATCAGTATTATATGTATGAATTCTGAAAATTTTAAATGCAGATTTGTACTTTTGATAATTCCAGAAAAGTTAGGGAAGAAAATGCCAAGACTTTTCCTTGGAAACCTCGGACACGATTGTAGATCCCGGGATATCGAGAAACTATTCAAGGACTATGGAACTATCAGGTAGACGGTTATATACATACGATTACATCAGGCTAATTTCCTATTAATGGGTATGTGGACCCCCTCCCCCTGATCTCCTCCCGCATATTCTTGTGTACATGTTTCTTGTATGTAACACATGTGGCCGTAGCGTCAGGTACCCTAGCCTGTCCTAGCCGCAGCGATTGTCCCACAAATTGTTTTTAGTTTTTACCTAACTTTAATGTTTTTTTTTGGAGGAGGGGGGGGGGTCCCAAAAAAATTATTCTCGGACTGAATCATCATATGTTACTAATTTGTAGTTTTTTTATATTAATAAGATTGGGTATAAAGTGTTCAATCATAAAAAACCATATTTGGTAAAGTGCTAATGGTTTCTCCTTAAAAATTTCATATTGACTTTTTCGCCAGATTTTAGAAGGAAATCGATAAATACAACACGTTTAAGATATAAAATGTCCTACTTTTTGTTACACGGAAAAAAGCAAAAACAGCACTTCGTTGTAAATATGNAATCAAAAATATTATTTTTAATCTCCAATTTTTTCAGGAATGTGAACATCAAGGGAGGGGTAGTTAATGTTTCCTATACAAACATTCATTCCAGATTTTTATTCATAGATCCAATTATTCAATCATTTAACTTAAAATGCATTAGAGTGCTCTGCACCCCTTTTCTAGTAATATTTTTGGCTCTGTTGTTGTTGATATTGCCGCCACTTTTTCATCATACTCCATAGTCGAATATTTTCGTGGATTTTTCAGTTTAAATAAAGGGATATTCAAAAATCCTAGAAATTTTTTTTTTCGGGTCAAAAATTTCCTTTAAACTTTCTTTTAGGCCAGGTGAGTTTATGATTGTTGTGACGTTTATTGGACACACACAAAAAGACAGACAGCGATCAATATATAGCTAGATTAAGACAAACGTATATATGTCACACAATTTAATTGTAATTTTCTTTTTCCAACGGATCCGTCAAGAAATTTTCAAAGCGTTAAACGTACTTTAAACTTTTTTATTTTATTTTTAATTGAAATTATTCAAAAATTTTAACTGAACATTGACGCTGCCTCTCCGAAGGGTAAATATGGATTTATCGAGATTGACGAGAAGGAGGACGCCGAGGACGCTATCAAGGATCTGGACGGCAAATCATTCAACGGAGGACGGTAAGAAAAGAACCAGATACGTACACGGGAATTGGATTATGGGGATGGGGGGCCTTACAATTTTTTTTCAGTTTGGGCTCAGCGGGCCTTAAAACCATAAATTTTACTGATCGGGGGAGGGGGGTGAACGACCATAGCCCCTCTAAGTACGCCTCTCTGAATGCATCGAAGATATATGCAAGTCTTGTTCTTAAATTAGTCTATTAATGAAGAAGCACAAAAATTCAACAATTAAGCATTAAGTACACATGACACATTTAACTAAATAAATTAATCGTAAGCTATTGGAAAAACTATTTACTTTATAAAAACATCAACAACTCAAAAACTGTCTAAATGTCGTCTCCACATTTCTTTTGGTCTTTATGAATCCCTGCAATTGTTAATTTATTTATTTCCTTCCAAATCATTTGATAAGCTCTTAGGACAGAATACTTAGTTAAACCTTGGGATCGTATATTGAGATGTAATATTGCTGTAATGTTATCTGCTGATTGTATATAAACCTTTTATTCTAACATTAGTTCAATGTTCTTTATGGATATGTTGTACTGTGTATGCCATACTACATCGATAAAACTCAATTTTAAAAGGATTTGAAAATGTTCTATTTTCTCCATAGTATGCGCGGTGGTAATGGCCAATCCGAGGCGGCCAGGTAATTTTAAACGGATACGGGACGAGGGGGGTGGGGGGCTGGTTTTAGAAATCAAATCCGTTCAAAACATAAAACATTGGTCCCGAATTTTTTTTTTATCTCTTCGATAGCGTAAAGTGCACTAATGTGCTATATTATTTTTAACTTTTAAAGATTCTAATTGTAGTAAGAATTTCTAGTTAATTAGCAGGGCTAAAAGTTTCTATCAGGTTATATGTAAACCATTTTAAGAACTTGAAAAATAAAATTTAACCCCAAGGAATTGAATTAACGTAGAGAATGGGGACTTATCGCGTACTTCAGTTCTATTTCCTTTTCTAAACGGTATTCCATAATCCATCATCTCTGTAACGATTTCTCTTTGCTGAATATATCCGCGATTGAAATCCTCAATTTTTAGGTTAAAAAAACCAAACATAATTTGTTCTTTTTACGATCTTTGTTACCTGAAATTAATCTATAATCTACTGTTTAGACGGTTCTCTGATGGCAGGTTCCGTAAGAGCAATTACAGGATTCTTGTCGAGGGTCTTAGTTCTAAAACTTCGTGGCAGGTATTTAGACTCAATCTAGATGTTTTGTCCTTCCATAAAAAGTTATTAAATGAGTATATTTTCTGATTATATTTTGGACAGTATTTCTTCAACAATTTTGAGAGAGAAAAAACACGAGATCCTTGGGAAAATATCAATTAACTGATTTAATTTCTTAATATTCAAAATTTATGAGCACTGGTTTAAAGTGCGACTTCTGACTAGTTCTCTCTTCTTACATGTTTATGATAGTATGATATTAAACTTGTGTTAGGCTAGGGCTGGGTAAATATTGGGTATTCTAATCTATTTCATTAACTTATGTGAAGTCTGGGAAATCTATATTAAAGGGAGTGTTCGAATCAGTGCTTAGGATCCATTTAATTTTGATGCTGACCCGGATCCTGGATCCGCACTAAAAAAAATGGATCCGGATTTAACAAAATATAATTTTCAAATTTTTTGTTTTATTTTTTTGTTATATTTTTATCCTAAAACTTGATGAACCATTCAGAACTGAGCAAGTTAAATTTTTTTTTGCAGTTTTTGTTGATATTTTACCCCGACCCTTGGATCCGGATCCAGGAAGCCAAAATCTTGCGGATCCAACGGTTTCGGATCCGAATCCTAAGCACTTGGTTCAAATTATACACCTCCTTGTACTATTTTATTTCTGTATAATATTTTGATAATGGTCTATGCTTCGCCTCCTTCAAAGGGATCGAATATACTCAAACCATAAACACCTTAACAATTTCGGGAATAAAAACTATTAGCACTTATTTTAAATTAAAGGGAAGTTATTTTTACACTATCGATATAAGAGTTCATTTTTCAAATAGTCCTTTCATTCAGAGGACCGTAAATTATTATTATATGCGAGAGAAAAATAATTGCTCAGACTAGATAAATAGAATAGAAGTTTAATTGGGATTGATTTTGTTTGTCAAATTGGCCAATTTAAACCATTAGTTTTATTTAATACAAGGTTCCAATCTTCATGTTTTATTATATTTCCAAGAATCAAATAAATAACCCTTTATCTTCTGTTTTTAATGTCAATATTTTATTTTATATTTTTTATATGGTTCTAAAAATCGACCGAAGTGAACAATGTTGTATTCAATTTACTATATTTTTCAATGTTGATTTTGCATGTATGTAATGTTTGTAAATTGTACAGTACACATTATAGTTTTCTAATCTGTCATATTATTATTATTAATGTTTATTTTCTTATATTAAGATGTTTTATAATGTACTGTACAGTATACACTGCCTTTGTCGTTAGTAATGTTCACATCGAAATCGTAATTCTATTATCAGACTTGAAATTATCTCTCCTCAAAATCTCTTTTTGGCCCTTTTGGTCTCTTGCTCTCCATTCTTGGTATTCTTGGCACTATTGTTGGTCTCATGGGCCTCAACCCTGCCTCATCTCGTCTTAACCAGGCCTCTGTCCCACGGCCTCGGTTTTTCTTAAAATCCTCCTTGTTTTTGGGTCTAGGGTTATTTTCATAGGTAAGTTGGAACTAACCCATAGCTGTTAATCTTCCTTCTATCTATCTTCTCACATTATATAAACATGAAAAAAGAAACCAAACCTGTTTTAATTTCACTAGGGGGAGTTTTAAGGTTTTCTTCATCCTTTGATTGCGACGTTACAGTTAAATTTTTTTATCAAAAATATGTTTCTCGAAATTTTCTATTTCCAAGATTTTTCCAATGTTTCCTCTCTCCTTCACTTTTTAGCACGTGTTCTCCCAATATCGTAAATACAATTTTGATCTTTAATTACACTTGTCGATATTTGCAGTTCACTCTAATCCTAAACCAGTAGGAACAAGGGTTTACTGGTTAAAGTGTGATTGAATAATGTTTGCCTAGGATCTCAAGGATTTCATGAGTAAGGCCGGAGACGTGGTCTACACCAGTGTCAAGAGGCCCAAGGCCGGCGAAGGGTTAGTATTAACTATTCATATATTCACCAAATTTCTCGATTGATTTTTGAAATGTATGTAAACACTTTTCTATGTAATTTTCATTTTTGAATTGATTTTTATTTTAAATTATTTAAAGAAAAGTTTTTGTTTGTGAAAAGGAAACATAAATCAAGTTTGAAGTTTCGTATTGTATCTTCATCTTTCCTTCGTAAATAATTTTAACCATGATTATGTATAAACCTGTAATTCATGTTCAATGTTCATGGCAAAAATGTTGTTGTGAACGCTTGATTGATTGATTGGTTGATTGATTGATTGATTTAGACTTGTTGAGTTTCGTGACAGAGAATCTATGGAATACGCACTCAAAGAGCTTGATGATAAGAAGTAAGTTCATTAAACGTTCTCCTTCCCTTCCCTTCCCCCCTCTTCCCTTCCCTTACCCTTTCCTTCCCTTCCCTTCCCTTACCCTTTCCTTCCCCCCTCTTCCCTTACCCTTTCCTTCCCCCCCTTCCCTTCCCTTCCCTTACATTTAATTCTTGAAGGCTTAGTTTCTGCCTGTTTTTCATCTTTAAAACTATGGAAGGACGACTGTTAGACCAAAGTTATGAATTAAGAATAAGATACAACAGCGATCATGAACCACAGCAATATCGCAATGCTAATTTCTCGTAATAAGTTTATTTCATGCTATTGGTAAAACAAACTGTTTTATAACAACATATTCAAATACAAGATACATTATACCGGGTTACCCATTAATGATGAGACAACCTGAAACTTTTAAAATTTGACGAAATGATGGTTCCAAGGAGTCTTCTGCATTAAAAAAGGATTAGTTTACATCTGCAGGGAATCGTGAATTTTAGGAAACAGACAGGATAAGTTCCGTATACTTGTCTCTCAAGTCTCATCTTTAGGAAACAGACAGGATAAGTTCCGTATACTTGTCTCTCAAGTCTCATCTTTTGTGGGTAATATTTCTTGAATATCGTCTTCCACAGTTTAGTTTATTATTAATAATTAATTGTTAAGGTTGGATGGAAACTATATCCGGGTGATGGAGGAGCGTAGGAGTTCCTCAAGGAGCAGGAGCAGGTCTAGAAGCAGGTCATCACCGTTGGAAAATATTCTTTTTTTAGAATAATTAATTAATTCGAAAGTATACATTCAGCTTTCAGAGAAGTAACACTGGGTCTTAATAGGTGCTTCTTACAGTATTCAGAGGGTGTTTCTTACAGTATTCAGAGATACAGGGTGAGAGAGAGAAAACTGCAAACTAGAGAAACTTTAGCGAGGGGTGTATATTGGGTGTATACACCCCTGCACACAAATGGAAAAGAAAAAACAAAACTACATGAAAAATTTAAGGCCGGCATTAATCTTTTAACACTTTTATTAACCTGGAGAATGGAGGTTTTTTACCTAGCTGGATCCAGATTTTGCTACTGGCAGCTTTAAATATACTCTTTATTAAGAAGCCTGGTAAGCTGTTATTAAATATCCGAACTCGTCGGAAAGACGTTAATTCTTTCGATTGAATCTGGTTCTGTGTGTAAGCATCAAGGGAGCTCAGAACAGTCAGTCTCTTATACAACTCTCTCCAGTTTCTTGTGGCTGAACCCTGTGTGGAAAAACATGGCAGTACACCCTACTTGCCAGAAACAAGGAAAATGGAAACATGAAAGTAGAATCCTGATAGGTTGTGCACCATTTACTATAATATTGGTTTATAGTCTGTCGGCTCCAAGGAAAATATTGCTGTAGACAAGGCATTATTCTGAAGCACTTGTGTCAGAGATGAACTTACAAGAATCATAATTCTTTTGTCGAAAATATCCACTCCTAGCCTAACCTTTCTTATCCCATTTGTCATTATTAAGGCGGAATTCTGACACTGAATATCCTCAGAATTTTCAAACCCTGCTTAGTGCAGTGTGACTTCTATTTTTCCAACCTGTAAGAATATTAAAGAAATTGTGTTTGAAGCTAACCTTCAACAGTTGTTCAGTCAGACATTCTGAAAACTGCAAATACATCTGATATCTACTCACAAACGTAACTTTCTATTATGAATCAGTAATATATGTTAAAATACATTTTTCCCTTTTCTACAAGAGACTAGAATGCGTAGATCTAAAAGAGAAGAACAGAAAACAGATGTATGATCAGAAAAAAAGAATTTACAACGGTCGAAGAAAAAAATTCACTGCTCTTTTTAAATTTTGTTGAAAAAAAATTTGAATTTATAAATTAATGTGTGTGGTCCAAGAACCATCAAATTGTGAATTTATTAGTGGTTTTTGGTCTTCAAAATTTTGTTGCACTAATGTTGGAAATTGGTATTAAAAATAGTTTTTTAATCATGATACACTTAACTTAATTGTTGATTCCAGGAGCCGTAGGAGGAAGAGCCGAAGCAGGAGCAGGGGATCCAGGAGCAGGAGCCGAAGCAGGAGAAGTAGGAGTAACAGCAGGAGGAGCAGGAGTAAATCCTCATCCAGGAAATCAAGGTTATTATCTTATCTTTGTTTTTCTTCTTCTGATCAATTATAATTTTTATTATCTCTTGCAGTCTATTAACAATCTTTCATTCAATTTTACTCTAATCAATAAGTTTTTTTCTTATATTATATTCTCATCAATTTTCTTCTTTCTATTTTCTTCTTTCTAATTTTTTATATTCCATTTTCTTCTATTCTATTTTCTTCTATTCTATTTTCTTCTATTCCATGTTCTTTTATTCCATTTTCTTCTATTTAATTTTCTTCTATTCCATGTTCTTTTAATATATTCTAATTGTTTATCTTTAATTTTTATTTTCTTTTTTTTAAATCTTCTAATTATTAGTTATCTTAATATTTATTGATTTCTAATTAATTATCCAATGAGACCAGACTGAGGCAAATTAATTGCTTAGAACAAAGATGTTTGTGAGCATGTGCCCCAAGCCTTCTCTCCAAAAATTAATTAGGGGAATATGCATTTATTTTGTGGATTTATTTTTTACGAGGCTCAATGGAATTCCAAGTTAACAGGGCGAAAAACAAAATTAAAATTATGGGAGGAGGGGGGGGGGGGAATTTTTGATACAATTTTCCTCATTTCAGCGAAAAAAACTTTAAAAATTCTTACGTTATTGTGAATAGTCTTCTGTAAAAATTTGACTTTTAAAACCCTCATTAAGAATAGAAAACATCCCACCCCCCTGCTCACACACAATGACAGACCAAAAAGCGCCCACCAGAGCCTGATTTATTCAGGCCGGAAAAGAAGGCCGAATCTAAACCTGAAAAGGCCTCTTCAAAGGCTGACAGCAGGTTAGGGGAAAAGTAAACATTTGGAAATATTAACTAATTAATTATTATCTAGGTTACACATTTGATAAATCAGAGGGGTGTAATGCCCCCCCCCCCCTCCCCATGCTATAGATAATAGTCAATCACTATCTTTCAACCCTCCAAAAAAAATAACCGGAAAAACAACATTTTTTATTTTTACATAACTAACTTCTTTTTGCTTTCAGGTCTCGTTCCCGATAGGTGTACAACACTGTACAGCACACAGTACTGATACATGGTGCACTGTACACTGTACAGCACAGTACAGATACATGGTGCACTGTACACTGTACAGCACACAACAGTACAGATACATGGTGCACTGTACACTGTACATTATACGTACACTGAAATGGTCTGCCTGGGAATCTGTTCTTGTTTATTGTTCATTAAATCTTATTCAACAATTTAAAAATATTTCTTCTTTTTAATAATTCTCATTTCAGATATTATATTATTTTCATTCTTATTATAAATTCCTTGTAAATGAAATTATATCTGCTTATCTTAAAAGGGTTCAACTAATATTTCTGTATGAAGATAATTATATCAATTAAAAATTTACTCAATAGTTTAAAATAGCGAAATATTAATTTGTTATTAAAATGTACTTGTGTTCAAATAAACTTGTCTCGTTGTATTTTTTTATCATCTCTTAATTTATTTATTAAAACGTGCTGTAACGTTACTTATCATAATTACATTTTTATATAAAGTTACTCTTATGCTTTTAATATATAATTTTAGGCAAAGCTGGGTTACCAAGGTAGATATATAATATAAAGTTAGTTATATAAGAACATACTAGGAAAGCGACTATTAGAAATATAATTTCTAGAGTAAGAAATTGAAAATAAACAATTTTGAATTGTAACTTAAACAAAATATAATTTTAAGAAGTATGACGATATGAATCATCAGACGGTACTTTTTTATCGTTCTTCAGTTTGGTTTTACACTTATACATTGGATATAATCAGTTGTTATATAAACAAATCCTCTTGGCTCACCTGATGTCGGACAAGAATGGAAGATTTGGAATTAATGAACTGAGGAAAACTTGAAATACAGGGTTACCAACAAAGGAGGAAACTTTAGAGGCGATTGTACGGAATTTGTTCTATCCATATTCTTGCAGCCCTGGTTCCTCGTAGGACAAAACTACATTTTTTCTGTGATTTTAAGTAAATCAAACTAAAATATTAAGCTTAACATCGTTTAGAGTTTGGTGTCGTCTTTATTGTCTCATCCTTTGTGAGTAATCCTGTAAATCAATTGGTACTTCTTAATGAACCATTGAGCACATGTTCATAAGTTGCATGCTCCAAATCAGTACAAGGTTTGTCTGGCGAGTGTTTACTTTTTACTCAGAGGCGCAACTAAGGGGAGGGTGGCCCCCTCTGGAAAAGAAATTGAAATAAGAACTATTTCGCCCCACTCCCCATGTGGTGTACGAAGCGGCCAGCTCGTTTTATGCAACAGCATTAGGTGGGCGAGGGAAGGAATCCCCGTCATGAGCCTCCGCTATGCAGACACGAGCCTCCCAGACTTTCTAAGCAGACCAAGCCTCCACTATACAGTAAATAAGATTTATAAGATTTAAATTAAAACATTTCTCACGCAGAAAGGAAGATATTTGGAGAAATATTTCTTGAGTAAATTTGGTTTGATTTGATTTGTAATCTTTGATATAAACGATACCTTTTTTGAAAAATGTTAAGATTTAAGTAACGATACAAATTTTCTAGATTTAATTTGAACTTAAAAAGGTAATGGCTTAAATCAAAGATGTTAAAAGATGAGATGAAAGTTTTACCATTTTATTAGTCATAATTAGGCAATATTTATGATAATCGATGATACTTCCCATGCCACTTCGTCGAAAAATTGGGGAAAAATCTTTTATTTTAACTTAAAACACAAGTTAAAAAAACCTCCTCTAATACGCAAGCACATTTTGGTGTAATGCGCATGCACATTTCTGCATAACGGAGGCTTGGTCTGCCTAGCAAATCTGGGAGGTTCGTGTCTGCAAAGCGGAGGCTCATGGCGTCCGGGGGTTCCCTCCATCGGTAGGTGTAACAATGTGCATGATTGTTTACCAGGCCAACCTAAACATGACAATGTTTCATTTGGCTAGGAAGGTTCTGAGGGTTGTATTGTGCTTAAGACTTGGTTCGAAGTATGTCATAATAAATGAATAAATATACGTATTGATTACAAAAGTGGCTTTTATGTTTTTGAAGAACTTCTTTTCAATTACAGATATTTTTTAAGTGGCTTCTTTTGCTGACAAGAGAGACTCGACACTCGAAAGACAGACTTGTTTGTTTCAAATTTTTCCGTCAGATTTAAAGGGGGGGGGGGGGTTAATTTGTTTATGTGTTGAGGATTATAGAACCAGGGGTATAGGGGGGGCAGGTCACCTATATAAGCCTATAGGGTATACTGCAGCTTACATCCGCAACATGAAACATTGATAATATTTTATCAAAATCTAAAATCTTTTTAAATATGAATCTGAGATTAGTTGTGAAAAATGTGATAAAATAGCATCAGAAATCAATATTTAGTTAATTATATAATTAATTAACTTTACCAAATTACCCATTTCAAAACTAAAAAAAAAAAGACGACTTGAATTCGGAGGTTAGTAAAGATTCATTTATCTCTATTTTAAATCGTTATTCATTGTCGTAATTAATATTTTGGACCTTTATAATATTTCTTGATTATATATGCATTAAGTTTCTTAGTATTCCAAAAAATATTCTGCATACACGTTTCAAATTCCCCCCCCCCCTCCCACCTCCCTTTGAAGCTTTTTTGCGCAAAATAAATCTAGCTCAAAAAGATGGAAATAGAATAAAGAAGGCTTGAATTTTGAGGTAGTTAAAGGCAGCATAGTGTCTAATATGTTATCATTATTGAAATTAGGTGGAAAAAATAATCAGAACAGCCAAGAGCTATTTTTCACCTAATTGCTTTATACTTGTACTGTTAAAATAATTATCAATTTGTAATTATGAATTCGTTCTGTAAACAGATACATGAATTTTAGCAATAAACTTGATCTTATCTTGATCTTAGCTTCTGAGTTAATGGGGGGGGAATAAATATTTTTTTCCCACTCCGCGTAACTATTAAAGGCCATTACCCCCAAGATTTTTCCTGTATATGACTCGCGAATAACTAATAAAAGTAGTTTTGTGTATTGTTTTTCTGTATTCCGGCCTCAATTCGATAAATAATTCTTCACGTATCTTTTAACCTGACAACTGGCCGACCCTAACCCCCCGGCCCCCCTGCGAACCCAACCCTAGGCACAATATTTGTCGTAAACAATTACGACGGGGGGTTCAATGATAATTTGCAATTTGCATGGAATTTATATACATATACATGTATCAAGTTACTCTTATGCTTTTAATATATAATTTTAGGCAAAGCTGGGTTACCAAGGTAGATATATAATATAAAGTTAGTTATATAAGAACATACTAGATGGTTTAAGAGGTAAAGTATTCTTTTTGTTCATTTATTTTGATTTCATAAACAATCTCAAAGTACGTGATATGTATGGAAAAATATTTAAACTTTTATACAAATATTCTTTAAACCAAGAACCTGCAATTTCTTGGCTTTTACTAAACATCCTTTTTGTGTCATAACTCTTAATTGGAAAAAAATTAAGTATGGAAATGAAATCAGGGGCGTACGAGGGCTTTTGTTTAGGGGGCGCACAATTTGCGCCCGTAAGCGCGCAAAAAAAATTGAGGGGTCCCCCCCCTTGGCAACAGTATGCCCCCCCTTAAAAACCCCTTTTTTGAAAAAATATTGATACCTTTTTTATTTTTTTGCCCCCCTCCCACCTGGACTTGTTTTGTTCACCATAAAAATACCATAAATCAATAATCACAGCATCATTAAAATTATATTTTTACTAATAAACGAAATTTCTTCTGAATTTTTTAGATAGAATTTACTCAATCTACATATTCACCAACCCTTTTAAGCTACAATTTTCTGGGATTTGCTTGCACAAACATTTCAATGATTTTTTCAGTAGAGAGCTCAGACAGCCTTATAGGGTGTAAAGCTTTAAGTGCAAGATCGTTAAGTCTGCTCTCCGTCATAGTACATCTTGTGTAATGAAGTATTCTCTTTAGAAGGCTAAAACTTTTCTCTCCTTGTGTTAACAATGAATTCAGACAAATCCTTAGTCTTTGTCATTGTCAGGTGTTACTTTTTAAACGTAGTTTCCTTTTAATTTTGTATTTTCCAGGGGGGGCATTGCCCCGCCTGGAACTCCCAGGGGGGGCAACAGAACTACTGCCCCCTAGGTACGCCACTGTGCCTGGCCTGAGGAAGGTAAATGCAAGCAGATGTAATATTAAAAGAGCCTCCCTCATGGGTGCCCCCTCTCAGCCTCTCAGGGGGGGCACGCGTAGAGGGGGGCGGGGGGGCCCGGCCCCCCCCCCTCGTACGCCCCTTAATGAAATTGATGGAAACCGAAAATGCAATTTGAGCAATTTCAACCCTAAGTATAAGCAAAAACAAAATACATCTGAAGCTTCAGCTTTTTTATACTTTATACTTTTATTCAATTTAATTATCGTAAACATTATTATTGTACTGAAATAAATAATTAACATACACATTTTACACAGAAAAGAAGAAAACAAAAAGAACGATTCTTTGTTTGTAGAGAATTAAAGAATTCCTGCGCTCTTGCACATTGATTGAAAGATTCCTCCGTCAATGCTCATCAAAGTCTATAAAAATATAATACAATATTGCTGCAAATTGATAGAGAATGTTAGTGTTTTTCTTTCAAAACTTTGTAATTTACTTAAAATCACTAATCTTTTCAATTCATTCATTAATAAGTTAATAACTGCTATTTTGTACCCTCTTTTGTGTTACAACAGTTGCTACACTAAAATAATTGTAGCCAATAAGCGTGACATCCTGGAAATTGTTATAAAGGTAGAAAAATATGTAAATATGACGACTGGATTGCATGAAGGTGAAAGAGTAATTGTCTAGAAAACGCAAAAGAAATGTCCATTTTGCAATATTTTATTACTAGATAGAACTGCTTTTACGAAAATACTGAATAATGAGTCTAACCTTTGGAGTATCAAACTCAACGATCTCTCCTTTGTCCAATACCATGACACGATCGTAATCCAAAATTGTGTTGATCCTAAAATTAAACAATTTTTTTATATGTTCTCTTTCTTATAACTTTGTACTGCTCAACCTACGGATCACTGAATCTTTAAATATATCACCTATGGGCTATTGTGAGTATAGTTGAACCAGCAAATTGTTCTCGAATGGTTGCCTGAATCATTGCATCTGATTCCTGATCAACTGCAGCTGTTGCCTCATCCAACATCAATACCTTAAATATAAACAGTAAAGTTGTATTTTCTGAAAACAAGTATTATAGATTCAGCAAGGTGTATTCAAATGTAAATTCTAGGTTGAAGATGAATTTAAATGTTTTTAATAGTTACCTTTGACAAAATATTTTTCTATATATTTGTATATATTTGTATAAGGTATAAGTATATACCTTAGTTTTCTTCAGTAGTGCTCTTGCAAGACAAATCAACTGCCTTTGTCCGACAGAAAGATTTGAACCTCCTTCAGCAACAGCAAACTCCAGGTTATCCCTTAAAAACAAAATTATTTTTTTGTTTATCAGAGAACTAAAATCTTTATAACCTACCCTATGCTTGCAAGAAAATCTTTAAGATGAGCATATTTCAAGGCAGCAATGATGTCCTTGTCTGCATATAGATTCAGAGGATCTAGATTGGATCTAAGAGAACCGTAAAACAGAACTGGTTCTTGAGGTATAATAGAAAGAGCTTGTCTGAGTACGTGTAAACCTAAGAGAAGATTACAAATGAAATGCACAATAAAATAATATTTTTAAAATTTTTACCTATTGTGCTGATATCAGTGCCATCAATATAAATTTTTCCTTCAGCTGCCTCAGCCAATCGGAAGAGAGCAAAAAGTAGAGAACTCTTTCCAGCTCCTAACAAATCATAAAAATTTATGTGATATTTACTAAACCGACTTAATCAAATAAACATTTATTCTTGCTCTATCTGAATTGATAATGGTTAATGGTTACCTGTTCGTCCCACAATACCAATTTTTTCTCCTGGATTAATTTTAGCAGAAAGTTTCTTGACCACTAGGTTTAATCCATCCCTGTAACGCATACTGCAAATAAAACTTGATTATTATAAAATGCCAGGAAAGTGTGGGATGAGAAATGAACACTTGTCTCAAACTCTACTTTTTAATAGCTATTTTTTGAAGCCAATTGGTTTAAATAACCTGTAGTTTTCAAGAATAATTTCTCCATGCTTTATCCATTTCAGAACCTCCTCATTAGTCTCACCCCATTCTGCCTCCATAGGAGTATCCGAGTATTCCAGGACTCTTTCAACAGATTGGTAGGACTGTTTACAAAAGTTTTAAACAGTCAAAAAATGTCTAGGCTATTCATAAAATAATAAAATTGCAAGATTTGTGTTATGAAATTTTTAACATTATGACTTTAAACTCTTTCCTTCTCCATTTGAATGAACACAAAGGCAAGAATGTTCACGACCTGGCACATGGAAAATACATTCAACAGTAGAATACCAACATCACCTAAATGATAAGATAGTATTTTAATCTTTACATTTCAATATATTTTACAAATACTATTCAAATATAGCAATAGCAATAGAATTAGTCCTAAGTCCGAATTTAAGAATCTGAGCCGCGGCTTAAATTCATTAAATTCGGACACTGTAAGACAATTTTATTCTTACCAGGAGACATGGAATAGCGAAGAAAGACTGCCATTATAGTAACACCAAAACCTAAAATAATACATTAATAAAAATAAAAATGACGATGTTTTTTTCAATACTACTTCAGATGAAAAGACATTGACTAAATTGTGCAAATCGTGCTGTATGCAAGCCTGACTTAATATATACATATATATATTACACAAATATATATACTTTGCTTGTCTGTTTGTGACGGTTGAACCAATCAGGCCCAAATATTTTGTTGGAACTTACAAGATCCCAGGAAAAGTTTATGATAGTTTAAAGATAGCATATCTGGTCAGAAAAGAATATTATTTTAAATATTCCGCAAATTTAAACAGACAAAATTCAAGAAATACGATTTACAACAAAGAAAAATGGCAGCTGAAGAGCGACGGTTAAAGTTAAAATTGTTACCAGAAAGCCTTACTCAGAATGTAAAATGAGTATAGTGGAACGAGGGGATTGAAAACTTATTTTAAACAGCCAAAACAATTGGGATTTTATAAAGAAATTGTCTTCATTTTAGATAGTTTGATTTTTAATTATTTATACCAATAACTCCAACAACAAGCTCCATTCTCAAGTTAAACCATTTGGTTAGACACCAGAGCAGTTTATACACCTGGTATTGATTTCAATAACTCATAGAAATTCTTTTTTCTTTTCAAAATAGTTTTTTAAACAAAATGTTTGTCCGCTGGTGAAACTTTTTTATGATTACTTAAATCAAAAAGAAATGTGTTTTTTTTTCATATTAAAATGTTCCTTGTTAGCTTCGTCAATTCTACGCTGAGATTCAAGTTTGAACTGCTCCTCTGCCTGTAACAAGTTGCTTACATTTATTCAGATTATTTGCAGGTCTATGGTGTTAGTGAATATTAACCTGGAAAGCTCTAATAGATCCTATTCCTGCCAATGTTTCCCCAAAATGAGACATAAGAGGTGCTGTAGCAGCCAGTTCAAGTCTAGACAACTTACGAAGCACAGGAAGAAACCTAAATTAATGTCCATTTTATACGATGTCCATTGTCAATGCATTCAATGAAATATTATCTTTAATATGGCCTCTATTAATAAGAAACTTAACACCAACATTTCTTTCATTCGTGATTACACTTAAAGTGGAGAATGAAGTATTTTTTTATATTTACGAAATCAAACTGCATCGTATTAATATTATCTTATTAGTGAAAAAAAAGGTGAAAAGGTTTACCTCATGAATCCAATTCCCATGATGAGAATTAATGGAACTAGGAGAATTAAAGCATACGCTACACTCATGGCACATTGAATTACAATAGCAACAATCTAATAAGAGAATGAATCTAAAGTTTAAGTTTGCAATTTTGTTGAATTTTTCGTTTACCTGAAGTGCATTCATCCAGAAATTGAGTGTGCTCGGTGCAGCCAAAGTATCGCAAGCAAAAATATCTTTTGAAAACCTAATAACAAATTTCTGTGAACTTTATATGGCTACAATATTAATTATAATGATTTTCTTAAATCTGCTTTCATCTACAAATATTCTTGAACTATACTCTACCTGTTTTGTATACGCCCTGTTGGAGTAACATCAAAGAATGCCATTGGTGCATGAAGTATATTATTCAGCATATTTATATGAACTTTTCTAAAACAGAATATCAATTAAATCAACCTCATAAAATAAACGTAGAATGGATTAAAGGAAAAAAGGAGTTTTTCATATTTTAAAAGTAACCAAGTATTAAGTAGATATATACCTTGCAGCATTAATAAGGCAGACAACCAAGAAAAAGTAAGCTATCCCTAGAACTATACCATGAACAAGAGAAAGGAGAGCATATCCATTAATAAACATGGTTGTTCTACTTTCCTGAATAAACAAAACTTAAATAAACATGAACATAAAGACTTTTTTCATTGTTCACTCTTGTTTTCTATATAAATAAATCATAAAACTTTTTACTCTATTTGGATCCGAATCCTCCCAGGGGAACGTGTTTTCATTCCACCACATTACCCATCTCTCATTGACAATCTGAGTAACAAACCTGAATAATTTTAGTTTATATTTCCGTACTTTTAAAGTATTTTTAAAACTTACTTTAGAATAAGAAATAAGAAAAATCCGAAGACATAAAGCAATCCTCCATTCTGGTAAGTTTTAAGGTATACACTAAGAGGAACTGCTTTGTTTCCAGCTACTTCATCGGCATACTGTTTCTTATGCTCCGTGTTTTCCTTCTAAAAATGTATTAACTATTAGTATGAAATTTATCTTTAATTTTGTGTGTTGCTCAAATTCCACATTACTACAAACACGGTTTCAATATTGACGTTTTAAATATGAAGAAAGTAAAAAATGCACAATATTCATAAAAAGCAAATATATTTATATTATTTCAGATATTAAAAATACCTTTTTTCGTGGTTTTCTAGGTTGCTTTTTCTGCTCAAGTTGTTCCTAAAGTGTTTAGGTGAATTACATAACTCAATACTGCACTGGTTTGCGTTCCAAACCAGATCAAAACTTTTAAATAAAGCATTTCATCCTTTGACATATCAAGCAAGTTAAAAAGAAAAACAGATGTTGCTTTGAAAAGGCCAATTTAGCGCCCAACTTTTGTAATGAATGTTTAAAAACTACTTACATTCGTCAATAAGCAGTTTTAGGATTACGTTACTTGAACAATGAATTTAGTTTGTTCATACAATTTTTGGGGTTCTTCATTAAATGTATGTTTAAAGTTATAATGGAGACGTTAAAATTTCTTTTCTATATTTTCATGAATAGTTAAAATAGGTGACTTGGGAGCAAATTTTATTAATACAAAAAGTAGTTGAACTACGTAGACTCGGTTGAACTACATCTCTTTAATTTGAATCAGAGCAGAAGAAAAGTGGTTGAACCTAGCCTATTTGGTTCAATTATTTATCACTAATCAAGGTATTTAGTCCCTGAGGCTGCATTTATGTTTTACTTTTAATTATCGGGACAATTGAAATCATTTGAAGGATTTTATATAAATTAATTTTAAACGTCAACAAATGATAAATATTACAATAGAATATTCATAAGCCTAATGATTTTGTTAACATATCTTTCATTAAATGCATTTGCTATTCTAAAAACCTCTTTTCCAATATCATCTATGTTTTATAATGAAAGAATTAAAACCTCATCTTCTTTTTCTTGTGGAACATCTGCCATCAATCTTGTCAACTCTCCACCCTGTATTATGATACAATGAAGTTAATAAATGTAATAAATATATAGTTTAATACCTTCTGCACTAATTGGGAGAACGGACCAGATTCTACAATTACTCCTTTCTTTAGAACAATCACAAAATCTACCTGAAAAATGTATTTATGTTTTTCAGAAGATATGCCGCTGTAACTTTGAGTCTTAAATATAATGTACAGTGGTGTACACTGTACAGACACAGTATTAAATGGTTTCATTTGTCACTAGTAGTCTTCTACTAAAGGTGATTAAGTGAGAAGATACTAAAGTGTTAGAAAAAATCCTAATATTTTGTTCGTAATATTTAACTTCAAAAAGCAATTCTTTATTGCTAACAGAATGTTAGGAAAATCTAAAAAAAACAGCTCTATTATTCTGTTCGTAACTTAGGTTTCTGTATCTATTTTTGTATAAACTCTAAAGACGACATAGAAAACGAAAAGACGAATAAAACTATTCTTATTTTTTAAAGACCAGTTTCAGGTAAAAAAGTGAAGTGAATCTGATTTTTTTACAATACCTGTGGTAGGAAACCTATAGCGTTAGTAACGAATACGCGAGTTTTATGAGATAAGAAGCCATTAGGACCAATCACCTAAATAAAAATATAGTTTATAAATGCTTGTTAAAATAAAGACACGTGCTAAAAAATGTTAAAAATATGACACTAGGATTTAGCCTTGATTAACTAATCTATTTACTTGTTGTTTTAAATATAATTTAAAAAAGGAATTTGTATTTTATTTAAAGGAATTCAGGCTTTGCCACAATCTCTGATTTTCAAATTTCTATATCTTCGCAAAGCAATGACGTGGACATCGATATTGCAAATAAAACAGGATGTTAGATTAAAAAATCTATAAAGTTTGAAATATCAAAGGTTTAAACCATCAATTGGCAAAGATTTAGGAATTAAAAAATTTGAGTTTGTGGCAAAGACTAAAGGAATTGAGTTTTTGCCACAAACTCTGATTTTCTAATCCCTATATCTTTGCAACCCGATGTTGTAGACCTTAGATATTTCAAACTATGAATTCTTATAGATCAAATAATAAAGTTTGAAATATAAAATGTTTACACAATCAGCTTGCAAAGAAATATGGATTAGAAAATTAGAGTTTGTGTCAAAAAACTCAATTCCTTTCTTTACAACTAACCTCATCAAAGAGATGTTTGGAAACATGAGCATCTACAGCAGACAGGGGATCATCGAAAAGATAGATATCAGCGTCATTGTAAACGGCTCGAGCTATCGCTATTCGTTGCCTTTGGCCTCCAGAGAGATTGGTACCTAACATGACAAATGAATTCTATTAAAAGACAAGAATGCAAGAGTAATACCAAGACTGGGAAGTTTACCATCATCATAAGAATTACATCGGAGACCCGAACCTTTCCATTAATTGATTAATTAATTGAGACACCTAAGCTTTTCCTGAGAGACTCAATTTTTTTTATCAACGACCCAAAGAATTTAATCTGAGACTTTGAAAGTTTGATCGGAGACCCTCTTATTTTACAGCAGACTCCCCATAGCTATCGCTAAAGCTTTTTATGTAAGACTCTTGTATTTCATAACAGACTCCAAAATTTTTATCATTGGAGACCCAAACTTTCCAATGACAATTTGAGTTTCTGCAATTAAAAAGGACTTGGGCCTTTGCCGCAAACTAAAATTTCTATTCCCTATACCTTTGCAACCTGACGGTGTAAACCTTTGATATTTCAAACTAAGATAATTTGATTCTAAAGAATTCATAGTTTTGAATATTGGGTTCCACAGATAAAGGGATTAGAAAATTAGAGATTGTGGCAAAGTCTCAATTCCTTTGGAGGTCTTTCCAAATGGTCTCCCATGGTTTCTAATGGGATGTCCGATGAAAGTAGGACTACCATAATGATAATATTTTCCAAAACTTTATAAAACTAAAGAATTTTCTGTAAACCAATATATTTTAATTAATGAAAATAATCAAACCTTTGTCACCAATTTCTAGATCGTCCCCATCCGGAAGAATGTCTAGATCTGTTGTTAACGCACATCTGTCATGACAAAAATTAGTATGAAATATTTCTTTAATATGATTCTTATCAGAAATTATTAGACTTTTATAAGAACCTGTAAATCGTTTCTTCGTATAACTCTTCTTCATAAGGTTTTCCAAAGAGAATGTTATCCCTGTTATATAAAACTCACAATACGTTTTTTTGTAAAGTATTCAATATTTACAAATTCTGTATTGAAAATAAGTATCAACATAAAACTCGATACTTAAAAGAAAAATTAATAAAAGAGTAAGTCTTCCCTGAGTGTTGCATTTTGAATCCAGGACTGCTGGGCAACATGAGCAATGCTACCACTAAAAAATAATCATTAGTAAAAGATTTGTAAAATTTTGAACCAATAATTTATGATTACATTTTTTGAGAAGTAAGCACTTTACCTTAGTGTAATAGATCCACTGGTTCTTGGCATCTCTCCTATCATTGAAGAAAGCAAGCTAGATTTCCCTACATATATGAAATTAAATAATTGTTGAAAGTGTTTGTATGTTTGTAGGTTCAATCATTCTAAGTTTATGTGGGATTTAGAGTTTATACCTGAGCCTAGGTTTCCGACCACACCAACCAAAATACCATGAGGAAGTTTTAGGTTTAAGTTATCCAGCCTAAATATCATTTATTATAATTCATAATCAGAGCAAGGCTCTCTTATCAAATAGCGTTTTACCTAAAACATTCTTCAGCTATTTTTGTATCAGCAGACTCCCCAGCATCTTTCTTCCCATCATCTTCAGAACTTGCTGGAGCAGGACTAGACAAGGGAAACAGGTTTTCAAACAAAGAAATTGGCATAATCTTTATAAAATTGTAAAAACTTATTTGGTTACCTACTCCATTGGAATGTAGCTCTTTCTATATCTACGGCAATTCTACTTTCGTCCCTTCCAATTCTCTTGACATTACTGAAGCAGTAATCATTAAAATATAAAGTATAATGTAAAAAGGAATACGTATATCATTCAAAGGAATGCAATTTTTGTCACAAACTCTGATCATTTTTTAATTCCTATATCTTTGCAACCCAATGTTGCAGACCTTACATATGTCAAACTATGAATTCTGTTAAATCAAATAATCTAAGAGTTTTAAATATAACAGGTTTTCACCAAAAGGTTGAAAACATACAGGGATTTTAATATTTGAGTTGCAGTAGTAAAGACTCAATTTCTTTGTAATGTAAACTTTGTTAATTTACAAAAAGCACTTACTCTTCTGATAGTTCTTCCAGCTTTAAAAACTCTTCGATTCTCCTGAACAAATCATTATTTCTCTATTTGCTAAATCCCCAGTTTAAAATTACCAAATTTAAAATTCATAATTAAATGTTAATCCCTAACTCACTTTAGTGCTGCTAATGTCGTCATTATATTTGAAAGTACAGCAGGAAGATTTCCAAATGGCGGGGACATTCTTCTATAGAGCATGAGAGAAGGGTAGGATACATCTGCAGGAATATCTCTGTAAATAAGATAGTTTTCACCTTTTCCAGGGTTATTTATTCTTAGTAAACAAATATAACATACCCATCTCCAGAGTTTGCATAAGCAGCGAAAGCAATTGATGGGAGAAGGAGAGGACATGCACTGAGAATAGTGCAACCAAGAGAATACACTACTCCTATCTTTATATTGATAATACGCTCCTGACTAAAAAAAGTTCTTTATAGATGCCAATGTTTTCATTCAATTTTACTTATCTTTTGGTATTTATCTTACCTTCTTAATGCTTCTATTCTTTCATAGAATGGATTTTCCCATCCATAGAGCTTTATAATTTTCATTCCTCCCAACATTTCACTGGTTATCTATAACAAAGTTGTTCAATAAATAAAAATAAAATAGCGCTTAAATTTTTTTTTAAAACTCACCCTCATTCTCTCGTCTGAAACTGTCATGAACTGCTTGTTAAATCTTAACTAAATAAATAATAGTCTAAATAGTTATCATTGTCAAAATGCCTTTTTTGAATTAAATCCTTGACTTAATAATTGATATAGCTTACCATAATAATGCCCATGACAACAGTAGTAAAGAGGGAGAACACTAAAAGCGGAAATGTATAAAAGTTATAATGTCCAAGAAGCATTGTTAGAAGATACTGATAAAATAATAACACTTAGAGAGATGTCGACTAAAGTTACTAGCTTATAGAATACAACTAAATCAATGAAACAAAACTAGCAATATCTATGAAATAAAAATTAAAAGTGTTTTCATTCCTGAGCAACCACCACTTTGAACGGAGAAATAAAAATATCAAATCCGACCAGCAAGCATTCCTAAAACATAATCATCTCCAAGGTTATAATTATTTACAATTTCTTTACAGGGAAATTATGCAGGTTTCATCAAGAAGTGCACTATATTATAAGAAACCTGAATTTTGAAAACATCAGTTGAGATCATTGAAGTGATTTTTCCGGCAGAACCTGCTGAGGAAGCAGTGGGAGCCAGTTTCAGCATCTTTCTACAGGCAAATAAATTAATATTTAAAAAATATGATAATAAACTTTGACATAATAAATTTAAAATGTTAGAACAACATAAAAACCTGTATATTCCTGTTAGGAGTGAAGCTCTGGTCCAGGCTGATACTGTAACCATCCTATTACCAGCAACAGCAGTGAAGATTGGTTTAGAGAATAAGAGGCAAAGCAGTATAACTGCCAGGACTAATCCCTTTTCTGCCGGTGCTGCTAGATTTTTTACAAAGGCAACAACACTCTCCACAGCCTAGTTATTTCTTTATTTATATTTGCAGTTTAATATGTTTAATTAAAAACAAAATTGTTGTCCTCTCTCCATTTTCAGTATCGCTAGTCATTTTGTAGTTTGCATACCATACACGACTCTGAAAATGTTCAGAGGTCGGGTTTAATGATTATTAAGAAGTTGAACCTAGTATGGCCGGTTAAGCTATATTTCTAGTGCACTAGCTCTTGGCCACACTAGACAATTTTTAACTCACCTCGACTGGTGACAGAGCCTTTAATTAATTTTTTACATTAATTACACTTTCTAGGGAACATTTTCAGAGTTTCCTCAGTTAAAACTAAAAATCCTGAGTGGATTTTTAAATTAAAAATGAGGAAAGACGACATTAATTTAAGGTTATATGAGTAATCACAGTATATTTATAAAAAATAGCTTACTTTGTTTTCATATTGTTCAAGTGATGCGACTATTGTTAGATTAACGAAAACCAGAGCATAAACTCCACCAAAGCTTATAACAAGAACTTGAACTAATCTAAACAGTGAAAACATAATATATATATAATAGCACATAGAATATCTACTTTGCAAATTTTAAATGGGAAAAAAAGAATTAGTTCCTCAAAATTTGGATTATAATTTAACAAATTGTTTATTCTGCATAAAGTTATATTATTTGCCGAACCGAATAAAAAGAGACTGCGTGTATTTTTGTATTTATAATATGAATATAATTTCCCAGATAATTGTTTAACTGCATATGCATCTAATGAGAGTTAGTAATAAGGATCAATATAAAGTAAAAAAAATGCGGTTGCTTTACTTAAACCCTTGAGGATTTTCTTCTGAAGCCTTCTTTAGATGAGCCAGGAAACTTTGAATACAGCGAATAGACGCATCCACTGGAGCCAAGGAAGGCAAATCTTTCAAGGTCAATGCAGTCTAGATAAATAAATTGAGCCGTTGCAACAAACTCAAATTTTCTAATCCCTATATCTTTGCAATATAATGGTGTAAAACTTCGATATTTTAAACTTATTATTTGATTTTATTCATAGTTTGAAATATTTAAGGTCTACGACATTTGGTTGCAAAGATAAAAGGATCAAGAAATCAGAGTTTGTGGCTAAGACTTTAATTTACTTTAGTGTCTTTAGTAACTAAAGAAAGTTATTATCGATTCACTAGAGAACCTTGATCTTGTAAACGATGGCATGGATATTGTCTCATTTTCATCAATTTTTTAAAATATGAATCTAAAAATTTCTTTATCAATGATGATATTTACAGCTTATAAAGGTTTAGATAGAATCATTGTAAATCGAAGTATCAACAATTTATTAATTTAAATTTTAAAAATTCATATGAATTATTAGTGTATACGGAATGGAAAAGAAAAATGCTTAATTATTATTAACAGTCCAGTGATACAGTGAAAAATGAAAGCAATGAGCAAATAAGCATTAATTCTTCTAAATCTAATTTCCTTTAAATTCAAGTTATTTGACAATTTAGGATTGATTATTGTTAATCCTAACCTTTCCCTGTGTTCCAAGTTTATCCAGCCAGCTCATAAACACATAGGAAGCATATGATGCAGTCATCTCAGGGTTTCTTTTAGTATCGTCTTTTAGTTTTAAGTCCACAAAGCAGCAAACGATAAACTTAAAAAGAATTTCAAAAAGTATTTATGGCAAAATCTAAAGCATGATATTTTGTATGGGTTGTGCTTAATTATTGTATATACATTACCTCAGAGAATATAAGAACAAATGACACTCCATTAGACACCAACTCATTGATGTTTTTATCCTAAAAATGACAGACATTCATGATTTTTAAAGTTATTTCAAATTAAAATTTCTAAAACTTACCCCCTCGCCATTTCCCTCATTACTATATCTTTTAATCTGGAAAAGTATGCGAACAGCCCAAAACATTGAAAGAAGGCCCCAGAATACCCAAAGAACGGGAGAACTTCCGCATCGGTTGGTTCTTTCAACTTAAAAAAAGTTTCATAAACTTAATTAAAATCCTTATTTTTGAATTATATCTTATATAATATTAGACTCCTATACTTCAGAATAAAATATGCCTTACCAAAAACAATTGCGATCGTAATAAAGTACACCACTATCCTTAGTATTGGGTCCAGTATATCTACGATTTCATTGTTTTCTACTCCAAGCCAAAGAACTAAGTCATAGATCGCCAAGATAATCAGACATAAAGAGAAAACTGCTTTCAGGATACTCAAGATGGAGATGCCCAAGGAAGTTCCCTAAGAACATAAACAGCATACAGTTTACATCCCGGATGGATTGGTTGTCTAGTCTGAAGTCTGAACGATTTGAAAATGTCCAAGCTGATTGTTTACCTTGTTTTTTATCTGATATATGTACTGAGGCAGCAACAGGATCAAGGCAACAATAGGAGTCCATACAAACAGAGACTAATAAATAGTATATAAGTTGTCAAAGAATTCTCGATGTAAGACAATTTTTTCTTACATTTAAAACATATTTTATAAATATAAAACTTTAACGTGTACCTTCACCATACAGTTTGTTGTGATTGATCCATCTACCCCAATGAGATAGGTGTCACAAAAACCCAAAAATCCACCGGTGTCATTGCTTACACCAGACATCTAGAAGTATAACCCTAGATTTGTTAATGTCTTAAAATGTAATGGTACCCATAAAACTGTGAAATAGGCTCAAATAATGACATTATAAGTTCCCCTGTAGGAAAACTTTTTTGCCTTTTGGTAATTAATAATTTCTTTTTGAAACATATCACATCTTCAAAGCAAATTCACACATGAAGCACGAGACGCGCTTCGAAAATATGAAGTGATGTAATTCAGACAAACAATAAGAATGCAAACCATGCATTCAGAGCCTGCGATTTAAAAGCTTCGGCTAGGGTCGTAATTCCTTAAACCCAGCTTTCATACCTACTCTGACGACAGCTTGCGTCACGTGATTGTCAACTGTGATATCTTAGGTTCGACTAAGGAGGTCCATTGAAAAAGAAAACCGACATCGGTTGGTTTTAGTGGAGAATAAGGCTCGATGTTGAGTCTTGTTTTTATAAAAACCCGGAATTCGCCAATTCCTACCATGAATATCCACCAAATAGAATATTAAACCGTTTTTTTAAACTCTTTGGAAAATAAGATGCAACTTGAATCCGAAAGCTCAAGCCGTAAATAAAGCCCAACGACAGAATAGACCTGAGTCGTATTTTCTTGAATTTTTTTAATCGCTGGCTCTGTTTTCTTATTTCAAAATATCAGAAAAATCTAATATTGCAATTAAACAGCGAAATGCGGGACTTATTATTCAGAATGCGGGAAACTAAACATTCTTCATTTTTATAAGTATTTGGGAAAAGATTTTTAGAATTATTCAGCATTTCGTTAAATCTTGTTAAGATTTAAAAAGAAAGGGTTTCTGAGAGTGTAATGTTTGGAACTGGCATCCCCTTAGGTTAGGTTTGTTTAAATAAATCCTGTAGCGGATGAGATGATTATTAAAACCCCAATCTATATATGTTGCGTATAGCCGGCCAAACGGCTGGACCGATTGGGCTGAATTTTTTTGTGGACATTCATGGGTCCAAGGGGTGTGCCGATCTATTACGTGAAATTTTAAGTTTTAATGATATATCTGTTAAGAATCACTTAGGCTGATTTATCCAAAAGAATTGAAAAACGGAATTGTTAAGCTTAACCCACAGCTCCCACTCTATCTTATTTTAAAAGGACTTGAGTATTTGCCACAAACCTAATCTTCATATCTTTTCAGCCTGATAATTTAAACCTTTGATGTTTCAAATTTATATTATTTGATCCAACAAAATTCATAGTTTGAAATATATAAGATCCATGACACGTGCTGGATAGTAAAGATATAGAGATTAGAAAATAAAATTTGAGGCAAAGACTCAATTCAAAATCAAAGGAATTGAGTCTTTGCCACAGACTGTGATGTTCTTTGGATTCCAACGTCGTAAACCTTTGACATTTCAAAATATGACTTTTGTTAGATAAAATAATATTAGTTTGAAATATCAAAGGTTTACGACATTGGGTTCCAAAGATATTGGGATTAGAAAATCAGAGTTTGTGGCAAACACTCAATTCCTTTGTGTCAAAGACTTAATTCCTTTCTAAGGAACAGCGAAATCATGTACATTAGAAAATTGAAATATTTCATATTTTTCCGCATTAATGCATTGGGTCTTAGATTGATCTCTGTATTATAAAAGTTACTAATAGATTATCAGGGATACACACTCTATCGACTTCTACGTGTAACCATTAACATTTATAGGCTGCAAATCATAAAAATATGACTCCGATCAATCTATTCTAGTTCTTGGTTTTTTTTGCAATGATTTAGGTCGTAAAAACCACTTAAAGGTCAACCATTTAAGTAAATTAATAATTTTAAAATGTTAAAATTGAATCTTAATCCATTTAAATAAATTAAAAGTTAAAGGATAACAATTAAATTACAAAAGCAAACTGTTAAAGCAGATATTATAACTAAAATAGCTTTATTTACCTTTCAATTAATTAAGATCAAGAATACGTTTCTTGAAGATTTGAAAACTGAAACTGGTTCCGAATTGTGAATTTTCATGATAATATTCGCGGATTTCTAGAAAATCATTTCTAAGTTTAAAAACTAATTTGATCATTTTACGGGAATATATTCAATTTAATTTAATTCAACTAATTGTTTTTGGCCAGTTTATAGTGTTTGCTTTACCTCCAAGTGTGTATACTAATAAAATATACATTAATTTTTGTATAAAAGGCATACTAAATAGCTCTTGTGTGAGTTAAAAATTAACCCACGAATTTTAAAATCAAAGAAAATTACTATCCAAGAATTCTAAATGTTTAAAACATTTTTAGCTACTTTTACTTTTATGAGATTGGCAATAAACGATTAATTAACGAACAATTAACAATTGAAATGAAATAAACTTAAATAAATTTTTTAAAAAGAGATAATAGATTTTAAAGCAAATTATATTAGATAAGTTTGAGTTTATTTAAACTCCATAAGATTATTTGCCATACATTCAGTGCACATTCTGGGACAGATGATACAAAAAGTGTATCATCGAAAAATGTTCTGCTTTTTTCATGCTCATTGGACTTTTTAAAGTTATAACTTCATTCTAAAAGTCGTCTTTCTATTTAAGAGTTTTCTAGTTATCACTGTTGTATATATATATATATATATATTTTATTCCAACTGATGATCGGGTTAGACCCATGAAACATTTTGTCTCGAAAAATATTTATTTAAACATCTAAAATTTATATTTAAACTGAAAAAAGTTGAAAATACGATATGCATATATATATATAACAAAACATATATTTTTACTGATTAGTGATTATTAAACTGTTTCAACCTAAATAAAAACCAAGAATAGATTTGATTTTACCAAGAATTGTTTAAATCGTTTTTTATTCAGGCGGCATTTTTCGTGAACAAATTTGTTAAAATATTACACTTAAAATAAATAATATCAAACGCGTGGTCAGCTATTTTTGTACCCAGTAAAAGTTGTAGGTTAAAAGAAAAGTTTTCAAACGATCACGGTTATAATGTCACCTGTCTTGTCTTCACCCATGCTTTAAGTAAATACAATATTAGTGTCTATGGAAGGGGAGGGTGATTTATTGAAGAGAGGTTTACCTGTATAAACTATTAGTTCTGTTGCAGGTGCATTGTTGATTATATTCTCGAAATATTTATAATTTGTCGTCGCCTAATTACACTATCAATACAATAAATGGATCTTTTAAGGGGGAATGAAGGGCCGTGGGGGGGGGGGAGAAAAAGGGAAGGCAATAAAGCGGAAAGGGGCGTAGTGAAGACATTAAGCCATGATAAATATATGTCTATGTAGGAAATTTATAATTGTGCAGGAAAGTAAATAAAATCTGATTTGTTTCATATTTTGAAGAAAGCACAAATATATATTGACGATTTTGGACTATGAGGAAGGAAGAATATTTTCGTTTTTCTCTTTACCATGAAAACTTTAAGCCGGCGCGGCATCGCTTTGTTTTTGCTGAAAAAAATATTCTTGGATCTCGACGGCTGCATAGATATTAGATACAATGGTTACATTTCACATTCTTTTAAGAATATGTCTACTGGGTTCTGCTGTAAATTTTGTAGGGTAACTCTTTGGAAAATGACAATTATTTTATTTTTAGTCTCTTTAAATTCTTAAAAAGATGAGCATTCATTTAATGTTTATATTAGTTAAATTAGTTCTGTTCCAACAACTCCAAAGTTGCCAGTTCAAAAAGGAAGGTTAGGATAGGGGGATGGGAGCAGAGGGATGGGAAGATGAGAATGGGAGGGATAAGATGAAGAAGGAGGGGAGGGAAGGTTATGGTGCGCATGGGAGGGCAGGGGAGGGGGTGTTAATGATACTGAGAAGGGAGGATCAGGGTATTTATTAACTTGTCCATGCAAGGCTGTATAGTAAAGGTACAGGGTCACTCACAAAGAATAAGACTTTAATGATGACCTGAAACTATTTATTTCTATCGATCTGAATTTTATTGGAAATCGTTTTATATATAATTGTTTTAAAGGGTTTCTTACTGTTTGGCTAAGAAAACAGCAAGTTTAAAAGTTTTGAGGAAACATCAATTTAAGAAAAAAAAACTGATTGAAATTCTCTGAAGTCTCATCTTTTGTGAGTAACCCTGTATATCCTATACGTTTACTCGGTAATTTAGCAGGAAAACTCAGTCAAAGATGAATACCAGGGTGCGCGCTGTGAATGCAAATTTTCTTCAATTCTGGGTAAAATAGATTTTTTCGAGAACAATTTGCTGAATAATTTCCTCAACATCTTGCACTATTGTCATTTGTGTGTCAATCAAATGTTAAAAAATAACACGTTTCTCGAATTTTTTTCCAAAAGGAATGTGAACTTATTTAAAGAAAACCCTGTCCCAATAAACCCCTTATCAATGTTGGTTAATGTCTTTCTCCCCCCTTGAATTTGGAAATTTCAATACATCTACTTAAACTTTAATACATTTACTTAAACTTCAATACAGTTATTCAAACCTATACGTTTAGGACTAATTTTTAATTTGTGTCAATTTTCTCCTTTAATTGGGTTATACCGTATACGGTTCGAGTATAATGTTTTTGAGGTTAACAAAATTATGTTTGTTCATATATAAAAATAAATAACAAGTTATTATTTTATATTTTATGATGCGTTTTAGTTAGAAAAAGGAAAGATGAAGACTTGAGAAATTTTGTTAGTTTAGCGTGAACAACTAAATGAAAAACTGGATGTATGTGAACGAAAATTCGAGCAAAAATTTAATTCCAAAATTTTTACTCTAGTGACCTTAGTTTTTACAATTTTACTACAGATATGACTACACATATTTAGAAATAGAAAACATTTCATGTTTTTTTTATTTTATGATGGAAAATTATTCAATTAATCTAATTACTTCTTTTTTTAACTTGTATTGCTTAAAATATTGTAATGTTCAAGTGTTCTCTGTGAGACTGAACTTGAAAACTTGAAAATAAGATAATCACGAATCTGTATGCTTTAGATACAGTGAAGGATATTGTTGGTGTTACACACTTTTCACTTTAGAAAAACGATGATATCTTCCACTTTATTGATCAGATTAAGTTTTAAAGGGCGCTGTTACGTTGTGAATCGACGTTTAAAAGGAGGGTTACTCAAATTTAAGTCTTCAGTTACTTTAAAAGCAACATTTTTTAGCAGTCGCCAGGAAACCCATTTTTATTCATCTTTAGTTTTTTCAGACAATAAAAATCTACCAACTGATTTCTTAAAATGCACGAAACCCAAAAATCTTGACAATTTCTTAAAATGGGAAGTATAGCTGTATTATATTGAGTTGCTATAATAGCTAGTGCTTAAGGAATAAATGATAGGAAACTGATGAGACTAAATTAGATAAAATAGCATTTATAGTTTTAGTTAGTTTGGATAGTTTAAGGATTGCATACCCCCCGCCCCCACCCCTCCCCGCCGGGGCCAAGGGGGGCGGCACTATAGTAAGGCCTGTTTTCTTTGATTGCATGAATCCTATAAAGTGTGTATCTGCAGATTGAATTGAGATGAGAGTATAGTGTCAAGTTACTAGTAGTGTAGTACACACACTATCATTGGCTTCAACCATATTTTATATTCTCCTTACAATCTTCTTATAGTTCTTTATCTTCTTCTTTCTTGTAACCTTTTTTTAGTCCTTCATCTTCTTCTTTCTTGTATTCTTCTTTTAGTTATTTATCTTCTTTCTTGTAATCTTCTTTAAGTTCTTCGTCTTCTTTCTTGTAATCTTCTTTAATTCGTCATCTTCTTTCTTGTAATATTCTTTAATTCTTAATCCTCTTTCTTGAAATCTTCTTTGAATTCTTCTTTGTCTTCTTTCTTGTAATCTTCTTTAGTTTTTCATCTTCTTTCTTGTAATCTTTTTATAGTTCTTCATCTGTTTTCTTGCAATCTTCTCTTAGTTTTTCAGCTTCTTTTTTTGCAATCTTCTTTTTAGCAATCTTCTTTTAGTTTTTCATTTTTTCTTGTACTCGTCTTTTTTGTAATCTTCTTCATCTGCTTTCTTGTAATCTTCTTTAAGTTATTCATCTTCTTTCTTGTAATCTTCTTTTAGTTCTTCATCTTCTTTCTTCTAATCTTCTTTAATTCTTTATCGTCTTTCTTGCAATCTTTTTTTTAGATCTTCATCTTCTTTCTTGTAATCTTCTTTTAGTTTTTCAGCTTCATTCTTTTAATCTTCTCTTAATTTTTCATCGTCTTTCTTGCAATCTTTTTTTAGATCTTCATCTTCTTTCTTGTAATCTTCTTTTAGTTTTTCAGCTTCATTCTTGAAATCTTTTTATAGTTCTTCATCTGTTTTCTTGCAATCTTCTTTTAGTTTTTCAGCTTCTTTTTAGCAATATTCTTTTAGTTTTTCATTTTTTCTTGTACTCTTCTTTTCGTTCTTCATCTTCTTTTTTTTGTAATCTTCTTCATCTGCTTTCTTTTAATTTTTTTATAGTTCTTCATCTGCTTTCTTGTAATCTTCTTTACGTTTTCACCTATTTTTTTGCAATCTTCTTTTAGTTTTTCAACTTCTTAATTGTAATCTTCTTTACGTTTTTACCTATTTTTTTGCAATCTTCCTTTATTTTTTTCATCTTTTTATTTTTCATTTTCTTTCTGGAAGATACAAATTTGTTTATGGTTTATTACAATCTGTATTACAAGGACCACTTTAATTAAATTATATTAATATTCCTGAAAAAATAATAAAAATGAAACAAGAAAATTAATAAAATTTTCAAAATTTGGTGAATTTGTTACCTTATATTAAGAAGCAGGTATGTTTATGTATATTCTGTTTTTATGTAAACATAGTTTATATAAATATACAGATATATAAACATATACACCATCTCATCCGACCTTCTCCTCTCAAACAAGAACAAAATATTTGCTAAATATCAGAATTAACGAAATACAGGGTTACCCACAAAGGATGAGACTTCTTGGTTCCCTCACACGGATTTAAAAACTCGGTCCTTGTTCCAGTATAGCTGTACTTTTTTATCACAATTTGAAACAAATTTATTTTCTCGTTTCTTCTACCTTTTTTATGCGGATTTGTTTAAGAAAAATATTTTATAATTGTTGACTTTTAGACCAAAAATTACAGAAACCAAATGCTTCTCTGTCTAATTTGTTGAGCCAGAAATATGCTAACTTTTTCCTGGGTATCAGTTCAAAATTTAAATACCAAATTCATGTCAGAGGACAATATTTTAAATAAAATTCGATGTGCATTAAAAAGTTTTTGGTCACCATTGAATTTTCATCTTTTGTGGGTGACATTGTATCATATACCTTATACCTTATACATCAGAGTCTATAATATAATTGTTTCAGGATATTCTTACTAGGATCAAAAACGATCCAAATTCACATTTCAAAAATATTTTTTACGAATTCAATCTTTATTATGGCCGAAGAGATTTTTGCATGTATTTATTAAAATTGTAAATATCTTTTTCTGAATATCTGGGCGTAATCAGGGTAGGGGGGAGCGAATAGTAACCCCCCCCCCTCCCCTCTATAAATCTCATTCCTCTTCCATTTTAATTAGATCCTGGAAAGTGTTTCTTGCTGTTTATCCAAATGATTATATCTGGCGCGGCACGCTAGTTTCTTCTAAAATATGATTGTACCGACTCGACTAATGTTTTCTTTCAAGTTGGCTCGTACCGCCAGCTAAAATTTGCCAGAGATTGACCCGGCCCGACCTCGGGATCAACCGTGCCGGGCCCTTGTTCAAAGATAAGTGCTCTCTCGTTGATCAGTATTACGCTGGATGCGCTGTAGTGAGACAAGTATGAGTGTCCTGTTTAGTTAATCAATCAATTAATCCTGTAAGTGAACCGTGATGGAAAGAGAAGAGATTTGCAGAGAGTTGTTCAATCTATCAGACACAGACAAAGATGGAATTATTTGGAGGTGAATATTTTTTTGTGGTGTCATTTTCAACGTCATGACTGTACCTATATTAATAAGTTATTAAAATTACTCCGAGCGTAATTTTAAATGACCCACCATGTCAATGTCCGATTCACAATAGTAACCTTTTTAGCGCTGTATGATTAAGAATGAATTAAATATCAATGTTTAAAATTTTAAAAAACCAATTTTTTTCGGTTAAGATTTTTCTATAGTAGCGATTTGCGCATTTCTACCGCAGGAAAACATTTTCAGAATGAAATACTTGTAAACCTAGAAAAACGAAAATATCTTCCACGTTAAAGACCAGGTTTTAAGGATACCGTTGTGAAAATGTCATTGCAATCGTTGCATGGAGGGTCACTTGAAATTACACTTACATCAGTCCCTTCATAATTTATCTTAATGCATTGCAGTTTATACCGTGGAACTAGGTATGTACATATACTTTTTTAATGAATGCGAATTTGTGTACAAAAAATGCTAATGTTTTCTTTAATCTTTTGAAGTTCACGTTATGTTAAAATATCATAATATTTACGTTATATTTCCTTTCTCAACTCAAACAGTTTCTAAAATTTTTCAAATATTGTCGCTTCCTTTGAGAGTAGTGGAAATATTTAGAGGGTAAGGATAGATCATTATTTTTTTAATGATTTGAAAAAATGTGCAGAAACTACTGGGTTCATTGTGTTCCATGAGGTGCGGTGGTCAATATAAGATAGATGGATAGATATCTACAAAAGATGAATAGATGAATAGATACATTGAAAGATGGATAGACAGATAGATATAAAGATGGATAGAAAGATGGATAGAAAGATGGATAGAAAGATGGATATAAAGATGGATAGAAAGATGGATGGAAAGATGGATAGAAAGATGGATATAAAGATGGATAGAAAGATGGATAGAAAGATGTATAGAAAGATGGATAAAAAGATGGATATAAAGATGGATAGAAAGATTGATAGAAAGATGGATAGAAAGATGGATAGAAAGATGGATAGAAAGATGGATAGAAAGATGGATAGAAAGATGGATAGAAAGATGGATAGAAAGATGGATAGAAAGATGGAT